AACATTTGAATATAACCAGTTTATTTTTCACACAGCCCCTATGGCTCTGCCCCAACCCTTGCCCTCCCTGCCCCAGGGGAAGCTGCAGACAAGGCAGGAATGTAATGTTCAGAGCAGATGTGCGGTACTTTAGGAGAGGCTGACACCAGGTTAATTAGAGAAGTGTGCAATATCCGAGCGATGACCTTTCAGCCCCGGAGCTCCGGGCTAAACAGCAACAGTGTGAGGGAGACAGCTCACAATCAGAACCGGCTGAACAGCTCTCTCCTCATTAGTCACACAGGGGCAGGAGTCAGTGCAGTGCATGTGAGCAACAACAACAACAACTTGCATTTACGCAGGGTCCCTCATGCAGGCTAGTGTCCCAGAGTGCTTGACTGTGGCGGAGCACAACACCAAGCCAGGGGCAGAGAGGGGGTAGGTGACCGTAGGCACGGTCAAAGAGGAAGGTCTGCAGGGGTGACCTGAACACGGGGAAGGAGGGAGGGAAGGAGGGAAGGAAAAGGGGCAAGGCAGAGGGATAGAGGAAGATTGTTCCAGAGTTTTGATGCAGGGAATGTGAGTGGGGCACATATGTGGGGAACGTTAGCAAATCTATAGTGAGAAAGTTCTATTACTTTGAAACATTGGAGCCAAGTATTTCCTGTGTTGATTCAACATTTCACAATTGGACAGACTTTCCCATACAGCAATATAGTGAACGTTAGAATTAGTGATTTCTCTAACCAGAGAGCACTCGGGCTGTGACAGAGGATTCCTGTGTGTGTCTCGCTGTTACTCAGGGTGAGATATTCAGCCTGAGCAAAGTACAGTGAGGATATGGGCAGCACACGCCAACTTCACCCCAGAGCCCGGTCACAAAGCTGCCCACAGCTGGTGTCCCACAGGGAGGGCAGAGGGGCAGCAAGGGAAGCAGCCTGGCAAGTGGGGCTCCCTTACACAGCAGTGAGCTCAGCTCTCTGGCCAACAGGCTTGGCCACTGTCCCATTGCTTGGCATCTTGCCATGCTTTGCTTTACTGTACACGTGCACTGGAAACAGAACATTTATGGCACTTACATCACCAACACGTCTGGTAAATACATACACACATAGAATAATAATAATAATCCCTACATTTAATCCAGCAGCCCGACCTGAAAGTCGCTATACGAATGTAATTTGTTGTTGTTGATACAGTGCCTTATCATGTTGTTGAGATGTCTCAAAGCGCTTCACAGAATATACTGTAAAGTGTGTGTTTTTGCGGCCGAAACGCTTCCCAGGGAACGTGGGGTTAAGGTTATTTTGTCAGCAAAGGCGGCCAAATGTGTGCACAGCAATGTTCCCACAGTGTTTGTAGGTGAGTAGCCAGCTTCCCAGGAGCATTGTTGGCCAGGATGGACAGCGCCAACACCTACTGGTATAATAGGGACTTGGGGGCCATGTTTCTGCAGTAAAAGCACCAAAACATCTGGAGTTTATACAAGGAATGTTTCCCAGCCTTTCCCTCTCCCGGGGGCACCGAGCTTGGGGGCAGGCGGAGCCCTCGTCAGGACACTTCTCCCACAAAGCACACAGCCACTACACTTTACAGTATACCTTGTGAAGCACTTTGACATGTCTCGAAGATGCGATAAGGCTCTACATCAAATGCAATAATATTATTATTATATTATACTTCTTAAAGCATTGTCACGGTTGGGGACTGGACACTTTCATCCCACATCCAGAAAGTGGGTTATGATGATGGATGATAAGGCAATTTACTGGTGGAGAATTTTTAAATTACTGCTGGGGAATTTTCCTTACCTATTTATATGTTAAAAAATCCCGACTCATGCACATTCACAACCATCTGAAATCAGAGTTCCAGCACTAGACTCTCTCACTCACTGCCAACAAGAACCATCACTCTCCCCTGTCTGTCCGTTCAACCCTCAGACACACTCTCTCTCTCTTTCTTTCCTCCATCAGACTTTGAGGGAAGTCAGAAGGAATGAAATTACATTTATAGCTGGCATTAAAACTCCTAAACCATAATTACAAGCCTCAAGAGAGTTAATCTACCTAATTAGAGGCTTCGGTTATTGGTAGCTTATAAACCCATTGCTCTTGAATAAGTGGCTTGAAGCCAGAAATACCAACAGTTGGAAAAGCAAAGGTTTTACACTGATATTAAAAGCAGTTGATAACTAGAGCAGGGAATCAGTGCAGGGCGACTGTATTGTGTAAACCAAATCACGGGACACATCTGAAAAACGACAACTACAACTTGCATTTAAATAGCGTCCCAGAGCCCAAAACACTGAACTCACCGCAGTTGCTGGAGAAACAGGTCGGATTTAATGGCTGGGTTTCTGTCTCTTACGAGCGTCTCTGCTTTACAATGTTATTGCTCTCACTCAAGTTTGTTGCTGACGGGGCAAATGTGGCCCCGGGAACGCACGATATCTCACCGGGACCTGTCTCCGGGAATCAGGAACTCGTGCGGGTTTCACCCTCCCCAGTGAGGCCAGTGACAGGTGTATGTGCTAAACCTTCTCACTCGCTCTCACGCCCTGCTATTGTGTACATAATGTCACGTCCCTCCCTCCCACACACACACCACAGGGCTGTTCCTGCTACAGTCTGTAGTTGGGGAGTACACAACACTCCCTAATAGCGATGTGATGAGCAGTCAGTCACCCACAGTCAGCGGCCGGTCAGGGGAGGGGGACGAACAGAGCAGTAAAGAAGGCTAACTCGGATACCGTACCCCGGTTGGCTCTCTGAAAACACTCCCCAACCCCCCACCTCCACACACGCAGATCCTTTTATTACTTTGCCTGTGAAAGTATTTTAAAAGTTACGTATTCTGCTTGAGCCAGGCTTTGGGTTGTAAGTTCCACATCTTCTGTCGGTGTGAAAAGTATTGTCTTAACCTACGCCTTCGGTGATGGTTGTGAATTGGTTTCGCCCTGGTTACCCATCACCAACTGGTTGCACACGATTCTCTCAGTTTACTTGACCACAACGCGTTGAATACGGGGGTTAGACGACATTGACCAATGGATGGGTAGGACTCCAGTCACTGAGCTCCAACCCCTCGACACCCTTTAATGCGGCAACAAAGAGACTGAACTTTAATCAACAGGTCCGTGAGATCAGCCAACATTGTCGGTCACTGACCCCCACTGCCCTCTCTATTAATAGGGCAGCACTGAGCCTATTAATACAAATGCTGTTAACATCAGTCCCCGTGGTGGTGGGGGGGTGGGTGGCGACCCAGTGCCCAGTGCCCGGGGGTGGATAGAGGCACTGTGAGAGGGGGTCAGGTCTAGCGAGGCTCTGTAACACTAACTCACACGCCGCTGCTGCTACAGATGATTTAAAATAAAAACCAGGATATTGCTATTTGAGGTGAAGGCACCGTCAGCTGTCGCTGCGTATACTGAGCTGTCAATGCGATGGCTCACATTTCACTGACTGACAAACACACACACATACACAGGAGACAGCGCCACTCATCAGTCACACACTGCACTGACACACTGTATCCCCTCACACGGCACTGACACACTGTATCCCCACACACTGCACTGACACACTGTATCCCCACACACTGCACTGACACACTGTATCCCCACACACTGCACTGACACACTGTATCCCCACACACTGCACTGACACACTGTATCCCCTCACACGGCACTGACACACTGTATCCCCACACACTGCACTGACACACTGTATCCCCTCACACGGCACTGACATACTGTATCACTCACACACTGTACTGACACTGTATCCTCCCAGAATACTGACATACTATATCCCTAACAACACATTACATTTACATGTCGCCTTTCATGTCAGGAGGATGTCCCAATGCGCTGGATAGTCAGGGATCCCTGTACAAGCTGGGGGTTAGGGTCAAGAGGGATGAAGGGCGGGGAGGATAAGGGTAGGAGGGTGAAAGAGGGTCTTGAGACGGGTCTTGAAAGAGCCACGGAAGCGGACGAGGCAGAGGGACTGTGTACCCTCACACAAAGTAAAGGGTACTCACTCACTCAAGCCTGAATCTGATAGTCAGCAGTGTGAGTGTGTGTTTGTAAGTTGCGGCTGAGTATGTAGTGTTTCTGAGTGTCTGTGTTTGAAAGGGGTCGTAACCTCAGTCTCAATAGTCAATTCAGTGCGGTGCTCGTGAGGAAATAATGGCTTATTAATTTCACATCTCCAAAACACACTTTATGCATTATAAAAATAACAAACAAGGTTTCTTTTTGTTAAAATGGCTTTTTTGTAAAGTTATTGAAACCTGGGACATTTATAACAAAACGGAATGTGTCCAGCAGTCAGAAAGCTGTGTCTTTCTCTTTTTAAAAAGAAGTAATTTATAGGAATTGTTTAAGGCTTTATTTGTAAATATTAAATAATCCTTTGAATTGCACAGCAAAGCTTTAGATACAGACATAATATTAGTGAATAAAAACTCCTTTCCTTCTCTGACAATCGATTGTACACCCTCTGTACACAATTCCGCCAGTATTCACCCAGCTTTAATGAGAACCCGCCTGATGATATAGGACCAGGAGGAAGCCATTCAGCCCCTCATGCCTGTTCCACCATTTGATTAGATCAAATCTGCCTGATGACACGTCACTGTAAAGTTGTAGTTGACCAATTGTTGGATGTATAAAATCTGGATGTTTTATTCCCTAACCCTCAGGATGGATGTCCCCCTCCCCACACACATAGTGGTCCCGACTCCATCACCGAACCCCCACCCTTCTATGAACAACTCTTAAATGCAGAATAGGCAAAGCAGCGAAAGCGGGAAGCTTGAGCAGAATAACAGCTGAGCTGTGGTATCATCATCCACTGTCGAGTGACCTGGAGACACACCCTGGGGGGTTGGGGGTGAGGGAGAGGGGTGTTGGTGGTGGACTGAGGGGGTCGGAGTGAGGGGGGTGAGTCAGAGGGACAGGATAATGAGGGGGGAGAGGTAGTGAGGGGGGCAGTGAGGGGTGAGGGGCCAGTTTGGTGGGTGGGGGGGAGGCGAGCGGGAGTCAGGGGGACCTGATCTGAGCTTCACTCTCTGCCATCACACCCTGGGGAATTTCCAGTCAATATCGCCAACCTGTCCTCCCAATGCAAACCTCGTCTCCCAGAGGGTTCTGAGCAGACTGTGCCATGATTGGGGGTTTTGGTGTCTGAGTGAGGGTCTGGGCTGTGCCGGGGACAGAGCCAGCTATAGCGACACCTCCCCTGACACCCGCAGAGTCTGCTCATCCACTCGCTTGCGGGCGCTGCGTCTCATGGCGTCCCCAGGGCGGTATGGCTGGTTCCTCAAATCTGGCAACAAGAGAGACAGAGTCAGTGTGACTGTATTCAGCGAGAGAGGCTCTATCACAGAGACAACCCCTCACACAGCTCCCTCCCTCCATCCCAGCACCATCCCACACACAGACCACCTCATACAGCTTTCTCCATCACCACCTCCCCTCCACACACACAGTGAGAGAAACACACACACAGCAAGAGAGAGAGAGAGAGAGACACACACACACAGCAAGAGAAAGAGAGACACACACGCACACACACAGCAAGAGAGAGAGAGAGAGAGAGAGACACACAGCGAGAGAGAGAGAGAGTCACACACACACACACATTCACACACAGTGAGAGAAACACAGCAGTGAGTGGCAGATGAATGCCAGGTTAGGCTGACACAGGTACCGGTGATGATGTCCTCGATGGCCCCGTCCTTGCCGTCGTAAATGATCCTCTCTTTATTCTGTTTCTTCTTCAGCTCCGCCATCAGGTCCAGGAACGGTGGCTTCTTCTGGGCTGGAGGCTGGGAGGGAATTGGTGACAATCATTGCAGCAACTTTAAAATCATCTCACATTACAAAGCTGGCACCCAGAGGCCATTCAGCCTCCACACCCCCACCCCACCCACATTCCATATACACTTCCCACTCCACAAAGTTCCTTCCACGGATAGCACCGACTGACCCCAACAGCACAGGACACAATTGCCCATCTCAGTCTCACCTTCCTAACCACTCACACAGCGCACTCGGGAGGAAAGGTCTGGGGAGTGAGGGTGGTGGTGGTGGGATGGAGGGAGGTATCTCACCTTCTTGTCCTGGGGGCTGGCGTTAGTCAGGTCGGTGACCGGAGCCTCCTGCGCTGCCTCCTCTCTCTGTCGATTCTGGTTATCCTGCTCTGTTTGCTGAGGACAGGAAGCCCCCCCAAAAATCTCAGTCAGCAGCTCAGAGCAACACTGGTCCCAGGGCCATCCACTCTCTAGCCCCCCACCATCCCAGTGTCCCCCCTCCATACACTTGCCCCCCCCCCCGTTCTCACCCCCCTACACATCCACATTCCCAGCCTCGGAATCGGTCAGGAGAAGTGCTTCCTCCCAATACACGTGTATTCCCCACAATCATACTCTGATTGTTGGTGTTGGGGTGGGTCCAGACCTCGGAGAAGCCACTGTTGGGGGGAGGGGGTTGTTATGTGGGGAGTGTGGGGGAGGGTTTGGTGGGTATGTGGGGGGTGGGGAGGCTTGTGGGGGGCTCCTGGTGGAGGGTTGTGTGTGGGGGTAGGTACTTTGTGGGAGGTTAGGTGTGGGAGGCTTGTGGGGGGGGTTTGGGTGTGGGGAGCTGTTGGGGAGGTCTGCTGTGGGGGTTTGGGTGTGGGGCGGGGTTTGGGTGTGTGGGGGTGTTGGGTGTGGGACTGTAGGGTTCTGCGTTAGGGGTCATGCTGTACCTTGTAGGCTTTGATGAACCGTGTGAAAAGCTGGAAGAACGTAGACGGCTGTGTGGTCTTCACATTCTCACCAAAGTACTCCACCACCGAACTGTAGGCCTCCTGGGGGGCGAGAGCGGCATGGCAAGGGTTAATCACCGGCCACTAGCCCAGCCCCTCCCTCAACCCCACCCCAGTCCCCAGCGAGCACTAGTTATCAGCGTGTCCAGCGATGCTGACCTGGGCGCTGGTGCTGTCTCTCTGCAGTTGCTCCAGTTTCTCATTGTTGCTGCTCAGGAATTCCTTCAAGATCATGCTGTCCTGCACCAGGATCTCCTTGCGAGCCAGCTCCATTCCCCGCTCCAGCCCCCGCACGTCCTGCACCACACTGTCCAGGGAGACTGCAGCAAACAACAGGCAACACGGCATTTACCCACGTTACACACACTGATGAGCGCGTCCCATCACACAGGGCAGGGAGCAGGCCATTCGGCCATTGTGTACGGGTGCTCGCTCCCCCACTGGAGCCCTCTACTCCAACCCCATTCCCTGCTCTCTCTCTGTCTCTCCTCATCGTGTCTGTGCTGGTGCTCGCTCCCCCAATGGAGCTCTCTGCTCTAACCCCATTCCCTGCTCTTTCTTTCTGTCTCTATCTCTCTCCCCATCATGTCCGTACTGGTGCTTGCTCTCACACAGCCCTTGGTGTAACATCATTAACACTCCCTGCCTACCGGCCGCTGCCTTGTCCAAGAAGAGCAGGTCGGTGTGGAAGTTGCTGAGCTCTGGGTATCGCTCGTTCACAATGTCCACCATGTAGCTCATCAGCGTCTGTTTACGGTCCGTGGACTTGGTCTCCAGCAGCTGTGGGTGAGCGGAGAGACACACAGCGCAGGTCAAAGCCTGGGACGGGCTGTGCATCCTGTAACTCAGCCAATGCTCCCCATCAGACACTCACACACCCGCCTCCCACTCCAGGTCTCTGCTCTCCAGCTCCTGATATGAGTGCGGGGTGGGGGGGGATGGGTGCTCAGGCTCTGGGTGTGAGTGTGCGGAGGCTGTGGGTGTAATTTGGGGGACTGTAGGTGTGAGTGTGGGGGGAGAGGATGTGAGGGCTGTGGGTGTGAGTGTGGGTGACTGTGGGTGTAAGCGTGGAGAGGCTCTGGCTCTGGGTGTGAACGAGGGGGCGTCGGGCTCTGGGTGTGAGCGGGGTGGGGGGGGGGCGGGTCAGGCTCATTACCTGGTCGAGACTCTTCAGACGGAAACCGTACGCCATGCCTTTCTTGCTGCTGTTCATGTAGTTGCCGAATGCCAGGATAATCTAAACAAGGAGAGAAGGTCAGGAGATGCCTGCGAGACCTCAACTCACCTCAGCACGAAGTTCCTTCATCTACAGTGGCCTCAACTCCCACACCCAGCGCACAGCCCCCGCCCCCAGTACAACACCGCCCCACACCCAATACACACCCACCCCCCTGCACAACCCCACCCAACCACTCCACACCCAGCCACCAGCGCACATCCCAGCTCCAGGCCCCACACCCGCCCGCCCCTCTCAAACCCTGCACCCGACCCCCGGTGACCACCCCGGGTTCTCTCACCTCCAGGATCTTCTTCAGTTTGGTGGACGATTTGATAGACATTGAGGCAGCGATGACAGCGTTCAGTTGCTGTGAGAATGAAAGATAAACGTGTGAGTGTCTGAGGTTCATGCTGTGCTTCAGGCTCAGGCAGCCAGGAATGTCTGCGCTGATGGAGAGCCGGGTTGGGGGTGGGAGGGGAGGGAAGGGGGGGGAGTGGGGCAGTGCCAGGAGAGGTGGGGGGGGCCCTGAGCCGGGGGAGGGGGGGTGCCAGACCCAGGGGTAGGGTAAGTGCCGGGGTGAGTGCTGAGCCAAGGGTGTATGTGTGCCCCGGGGTGGGGTGGGGGAAACCATGACAGGCGCTCTGTGCCGCACACTCACCGGGCGAGGGGCGGGGGGACTCTCACCGGGGTGAGGCGCTCGGCGGGGGGATTGGGGGGGGGTCTCACCGGGGTGAGCCGTTGGGCGGTGTCGCTGAAGTTGCCCATGAAGATCATGGTGTCCATGCGCTTGTCGAGCCGCGGGATTTTACTGAATTTGATCATGAAGCGATCCTCCTCCCCCAGCTCTGCCAGTGGCCGCCCCTCCGCCTCGTACCTCTCCAGGACCTTCCGCTCGCACTCCGTGGGCACAAAGCGCGTCAGCAACTCCAGGAAGTCCAGGCTCAGCGACTGCAGGTCAAAGCTGTGCACACGGCAATCATAAGCTACCGTCAGCCCCGGACATGGCAACCACACGCTACCGTCAGCCCCGGACACGGCAATCACACGCTACTGTCAGCCCCGGACACTGCAATCACACGGGGCTGTATCCCTGGACACTGCAATCACACACGGCAGGACCCTGGGACACGCACTGACCTGTCGATGGCCTGGCACATGGCCTCGGTGTTCAGGCCCCCCTTGCGCAGGGTGATGGCCAGGTTCTTGGCGCGGTTACCCTCGATCAGACTGACTTTGTTCTGGCATTTCTGAGCTGCTTTGGCCTTGATGGTGTTGATGTCCACGGCCGACTTCTGGGCCTTGGTTTGAAAGCGCTCCTCAAAATCTGCCATGTTCAGCTCCTGCCAACATAAGGGGCAAAGCAATCACCGCGCTGGCACCTGAATCCTGAGACCAGCTGGTCATTGGGAGCAACCGCAAACACCAATGGTGGGGGGCAGTGGTGAGGGTTCATTCATCAGCTACAGGGAGTGAGTGGCTGTAAACATGGGGACTGAGGCATGTCAGTGCATGTGTGTGTGCGTGCGTGTGCGTGTGTGGGGGTGGGGGGAGGGCGTGGAGCTAGGAACGAGAGAGGAGAGCCGTGCGGTGCAGGTGCGGTGCGGGAGCTGAGGGTCGGGGTGATGCTCCGGGGTGGGGTGGGGGTGGGGGTCAGGGTGACGGTTCCCGGCTCAGTCTAGTCCAGGTCCAGTCCTCACCTGCAGAAGCTTCTCGTCGTTGAGCTCGGTGAAGACGGTGCCGGTGATCTGGTTGGGCTGCAGCGAAGCCCAGTTCAGAAGCGGCATCCGGAACTTCGTCTGAATCGGGGACCTCATCCGGATGGCTACGGGGACACAGACAGCAAGCGCCAGTTAGGCCACGGTGAGCAGGGGGAGAGCTCGCTACCGCCGTCCCCTCCTCGCCCCCCCTACTCTCCTGCAGCACCCTGCTTTACTGCCACTACTGTGTAGTGACTGTGTATTTCTGGGCAGAACTGGCAGCCAATCCGCGAGCAATAGTTCACACAAACAGCCATCAAAGTGGACAAACTGTTAGTCTGTGGGGAGAAACTCCCTTTACGTTATAACGTCCGGGTGAATAGAGAGACAGGGTTTAACGCCACCAACAACTCAGCCCCCCACCCCACCCCACTGCCCCCGCGGAAGCCAGGACTGTGAGCCCGACACACAACGCCCCCTTGACCGCGAGGCCAGACTGACACACGAGTCTGGATCAGCAGCTGTTTCCCTCAGTCCCTCAGCGTTCAGTCTCTCACCAGCTTCCCTCGCACCGACACCTGAATGGAACCGTACTAATGACTGCACGGAGGTGTGGCGCATGCCACACACCCGCCAGCGCATGTCAAGCAGCATGCACCTCTGCCTGGACTGCAGTGACTTCACACCAATGCAGGTAATTACACTCACGTTACGTGCATCCATCACCAGCGTTACGCGTCAGAGGATAGGACAGAGCACAACATGCAACGAAGCAAGTCACGTCACCCAGCACCGCTCCAAAACACGCAATACCACCCAGTGTAACTCAACACACCTGTACAGTACGTGCAACACAAACACACACAGCATACACAGGCCCCACATGCATGCTACGCGCAGGGCACATACAAGCCATGCACAGCGCAAGCAGGCCACATGTTAAAGGAACATACAAAAAAAAAATCATCTGACCGCAGGCCCAACGCTCCTCACTCCTGGGACGTGTGGGTGGGTGTAGTGACTGTGTATTGGAGGGTGGGGGGGGGGGGGGAGGAGCATCCGAGAACGAAGGCCGACCCACGTCTGGAAACAGTGCAAACACATGTGAAGCAAAAGCAACGTCACGCAACAAGCTAACACCATGTGATCAGTGCGATCTCATGTCTCTTACCTGAGGTCACGCTGGCGGCCACGGACTGGAACGTGCGAGCCTGACCCGAGCCCGGACCAGGTGGGGGTGGGGGTGGGGGTGGGACTCCTGCTGGTGGTGGGGGGGGAGGGGTGGGGGTGGTGGGCCTCCGGGGGTCGGAGCTGCGCAGGGGGGCGGTGGGGGAGGGGGAGGTGGTGGGGCCGGGGTACCTGTAGCTGGGGGGGCTGTATCTGACGTGGTCTCGGGAAGCAGTGGGGGAGGGGGAGGGGGAGGGGGGCTGCTGCTGCTTGGTGCCGCGGAGTGGGTTGGGGGCAGGGCCGGGGCTTCCACTCTCGTCCGATCGGTTTCCGTGCTGCCGGCCCCTCCCTGGCGAGCGGGGGCCGAGGGTGCGGAGGCTGGAGAAAGAAAGAATGATTGGCTCTGGCAAACATCACAGCCCCCCCCACCCCTCTGCCAGCCCCACCTCACCAGGAATAGACCCCCCCCACTCCCAAGCCCATGCCCAACCAATAGCCCCTCATCTGAGCAATAGGCCCTCCCCAGGCCCTCCCTTGACCACCAGCCCCTCCCCTGACCACCAGCCGCACCCCCCCAGCTGAGTGGAGCAGCGAGCGCGTACCTGTGTCGGGTAGTGGTGAGGTGACGGTGACCGGGGGCACGATCTCGATGGCGAGGCTGCCGTCCTTTCTTCTCCGGGTGCGGATCAGGCCCTGCTCCTCCAGCTCCAGCACCGACTGTTCCAGGCCCGAGGGGTGCTGAGCCGTGCGCTCGCCGGTAGCCACACTCTCCTGCAGCGCGGTCAGCCGTGCCCCCGAATCCCGGGCACTCTCCTAGCACAGACACACGCTGTCAGCACCCCACCCTCTTTGCCCATTCCCATCCATTCCCTTCCCAGCCATTCCCATTCACAGCCCTCTCAGCCATTCCCTTACCAGCCATTCCCATTCATTCCCTTACAGGCCATTCCCATTCCCAGCTCTCCCAGCCATTCTCTTACCAACCATTCCCATTCCCAGCTCTCCCAGCCATTTCCTTACCAGCCATTCCCATTCCCAGCCATTCCCTTACCAGCCATTCTCATTCCCAGCCCTCCTCTGTCCCAACATTAATCCCGACAGTGACTACCGTGACTTGTTATTACATCTCACATCACAGACACGCACACAGACACAGACACGCACTGGCCCCCCACCCCACACACACTGACACGTAGACACACAGACACAGACACACAGACAGACACACACACACTGACCCGCTGTTGCTCGGCCTCTCGTTGTGCCTGCATCAGCTGTTTCTCCAGTTCGGCCACTTTGCTCATGGTGTCGTTCTCGCTTTCCTGCAGCTTCTCGGTCAGCTGTGAAACACCGACAGCGTCACCGGCTCAGAGCCATCCCGGCACCGTCACGGCATACAACACCATACCCTGCCCTGCGCCCCCACCCTCAGCCACCGCCCCTCCCCACGCCATCATACCCCACCCATGCCCTCCACAACCCACCTCCTGCCCCTACCCGCACACCCTGCCCCTAGCGCACCCCCCGCCCGCCCCCCGTACCTGTGCCACCTGTTGCTGTAGCTCCTGGATGTGCTCGAGGAAGGTGTTCTTGTTCTCAGCTTCCTCCAGCAGCGCCCCCACGTCGAACACATTGTCCAGGTACGCCTGGATCTGTACCAGCAGCCGCTCACTCTCCGTCTCCCTCAGCGTCTGCATGGGGGGGGCAAGATGTGGGGTTGGGGGGGGAGGGGAAGGGGGTGGGGGGGGTGAGGATGGGGGAGAGGAGTGGGAAGGGGGAGGAGAGAGGGACAATGCAACGTTGCCACTGAGTGCACGAAGGGTGGGAGATGAAGATTTGTCCCTCGCTCCCAGCCCCACCTCCCTCGCTCCCAGCCCCGCCTTCCGCACTCCCAGCCCCGCCTCCCTCGCTCCCAGCCCCACCTCCCTCGCTCCCAGCCCCGCCTTCCTCGCTCCCAGCCCCACCTCCAATCACTCCCAGCCCCACCTCCATCGCTCCCAGCCCCGCCCCCGGACTCACCTCCAGATATTTGTCCAGACCCAGGGCTGTGAACACAAACTGCAGGTGCACCCGGAAATTCATATCCTCCACAGAGTGGACCACAATGTTAATAAACTGCATACAGGCCACCTGAGAGAGAGAGAGAGTGAGAGAGAGAGAGTGAGTGTGCGAGCGAGAGAGTGACAGAGAGTGTGAGAGAGAGAGTGATTGTGACAGAGAGAAGTGTGGGCTGTGAATCTCACCATGAAATCAATGCTGCCATCCTCATTCTGGAAATACTCCATCAGCTTCTCGAACGGTCGCTTCTCCCCACACACCTGCCGGTACATTGCTGGTCAGTATGAGGGCCAGACTAGTGACCAGCCAGTACTCAGCCAGACTAGTGACCCGTCAATGCGAGGGCCAGACTAGTGACCAGCCAGTACTCAGCCAGACTAGTGACCCGTCAGTGCGAGGGCCAGACTAGTGACCAGCCAGTACTCAGCCAGACTAGTGACCTGTCAGTATGAGGGCCAGACTAGTGACCAGCCAGTACTCAGCCAGACTAGTGACCCGTCAGTGCGAGGGCCAGACTAGTGACCAGTCAGTACAAGGGCCAGACTAGTAACCGGTCACTAACCAGGCTGGTGCCAGGTTTCCCGAGAGCTCCTGAGCAGGTGATGCCCGCCCTGGCCAGCAGAGGGCGCCACAGCATCCCGAATGGCATGTTAACCTTCAAAGGAGCTGCCAATGGAGAGTGACTGTGGCTGGGAGCGGGACTCAGTGACCTGGGATTGGGGAAGAGGATATCAGCCAGCATTCCTGCTACTCATCTAGGGACCCCGGTGCCCATCAGGTCAGGACAGGACCGGAATAGTGAGAGGGAGCGGGGAAGGTCGCCGGGGTGGGTTGGGGGCAGGTGGGAGAAGCATCGCCAGGCAGTGTTGGTACCATTTGGAAGTTGTCGAACGCTGACATGATGATGTCGTGTCCCCCTCGCACCAGGCAGACGGCTGCGAGCAGCTCCAGCACCAGCGCCTTCGTCCTGAGTGACACAGAGACAGTGTGAGGTCAGGGATTTACACCCCGCACTTCCCCGCTCACATAACCCCGCGCTCTCCCCCACCCCCAACTCACACCCCACTCCTAATCACACACTCTGCGCCCCATTCCCCCCCCCCCCCACTTCCCCCACTTGCACACCACTGAGTCCCTCTAACCCTAACCCCCACCCCCATACCTGGCACTCCAGTTGTTGAGGCTGAGTGTGATCTCGTTTACACAGTGATGGTGCTGCATCACCAGGTTAAAGCCGGACTGCGGAGAGTCACAAAAAGTTAGTTTGCAGGTACAGCAAGCAATTAGGAGGGCTAATGGTATATTGGTATTTGTTGCAAAAGGGTTAGAATATAAGAGTAGGGAAGTCTTGCTGCAACTGGTGAGACCGCACCTAGAATATTGTGTGCAGTTTTGGTCTCCTTATTTAAGAAAGGACATACTCGCCTTGGAGGGGGTACAACGTAGATTCACTAGGTTGGTCCCTGGCGATGCTTCTCCCACCTGCCCCCAGACCCACCCCGGCGACCTTCTCTGGCCTCACACCCTATAACCCCACTGACAGTAACCAAGCTAACACACAGTAACTGGTACCCAGACTAACATACACTAACTGGTACGCAGACCAACACACACTAATTGGTACCTAGACCAACACACACTAACTGGTACCCAGACTAACTCACAGTAACTGGTATCCAGACTAACACACAGTAACTATTGACCAGGCTGACACACGCTAACTAGCACCAGGACTAACACAGGCTGTTCCTACCTGGTAGTTCATGATGGCTCTCAGACACATGATGCACACGTGGACATCGTCCTTCTGGCTGAACATCCGTGAGGAGCGAATGGTCTTCCTGCCGTGGCCAGTATGATGCCTGCCAGGCAATAACAACAACAACTTGTATTTATACAGCATCCCTCACCCTGGGCAACACCCCAGAGAGTTCAAACCCAAACAGGCAATCACAGGCTGCCCCCCGCACCCCCTCCTCCACCCATGGCTCAGCGGACTCCGCACATGCCAGGAGCCTGACACACTCCTCCGCCTCCCACCCTCCCGGCCCTCCAACCCACAGACCGCCGCTGTTTATCGGCCACACTGGCTCAGCCATTGCTCACCGCACGGTGAGGTGCCGCCCAGCCCGGGACGAGCCCTGTGTTGGCGACGATTCTTTGCTCAGATCCTCCAGCGACTGCTCCAGGGGTTTGCTCCTGTCGGGAGCCACGCTGCCATTGTCCGTGCTCTCCGAGCTGTGCCTGATACAGAGTGAGACCCGGGGTTTAATAACAGCCTCTGTGTCCCTATAACAGCTTCCCGCTTCAGTCGCCGTCAGATATCGGCCCTGGTTTCTCCACCACGACACGGCAGCCAATCTGCACCGAGTAGTGCCATCGCACAGAGCCATAAAGTGAAGCTATATTGTCTGGGGGATTGTTGGCCAGAACGCCGGGAGGAACTGCCTTCTCTTTTCCAACGGTGTCGCTCGCGAGAACTTTTAACATCCACCTGATGTGTTTACACATCTCATCCAAAGAACGGTGCCTTCGACAGTGCAGTGCTCCCCACCCTCTACTCCTCTCCTGCCCCTCCTCCCCGACAACCCACCTCTGCCCCCCTGCCCAAGTGCCAGCCTTGCACTGGGAAGACAAAGTCCCCGCCGTAGCGGGGCTCCAACTCGCAACCGTTTACACAACAACTGCGTCTTGTCTCAGGACCCATTAGCAGACGGACAGATTCTATGAGAGTGGGTTAGTAGAGAGCTGCGGCTTGGGGTGCGGTGTGATGGGGGTTAGTGACAGCGACCGCACACTCTACCTTTCCACATAACTCAAACTCCGCACAAAATTCCATGCAGTTTCTTTAAAAGATCTGGAAAATAAGAGGTCAGTCAGTGTGTTGTATGATCTCACTCCGCACTGCTCCCAGGCAGGGAGAGAGGGCTCACCTCTCAGGACGGCGTTTAGGTGATTGTCTCTGGGGGTGAGGGTGCGGGAGTGAGGGTGGATCTGAGGGAGGGTGCAAGGGTGGGGAGGCTGATTGTGGGGAGATAAAGAGTGGCCGCATAAGAGGGAGCGACACTGAGTGCTGTGATGGGATGTGGGAGGTTGGGGGAGCACTGTGCCGCAGTGAGGGGTTGCCAGGCTCTGTGCCAGTGGTGGGAGGGAGGGGGCTGCCAGCCTCTGCCATGTACTCACGTGACTGCTGACTGTGTGAAGGCGAGGTAGTCGACCAGCACGTCAAGCCCCTTGTTGTCATCGTTCAGGAATTCCTGCACCCATCTGCACGCACGGCCAGACCATCATCATCATCAACTCACACACACACACACACACAGAGCCAGCCTGTCACCATCACCATCTCTCACACACACACACACACAGCCAGACCATCATCATCACCTCACACACACACACACACACACAGCCATCCTGTCACCATCACCATCTCACACACACAGCCAGACCATCACCACCTCACGCGCACACACACACACGCACACACACACACAGCGGTGAGAGCCAACCTCCCAACCCCCAGTCACAGCCCACTGCTGTCACATGTAGTGACTGGTTTGAAGAGAATTCCCGATGACACTGACCCGATGTGGTTTGTTCGCAGTGAGATCTCCAGCTCCCTCAGCACCTGTGCCGACTCCTGGATCCGTCTCTTGAACTAAACAAAGTGACGGAAAGAAAGAAAAGGCAGTGATTTGTGAGCTGGTTTGTGCAACTCACACACATGTCAGACACGTTTCTGACACGGACTCTCCCCCCCCATCCTCCACCCACCCAATACCCTCACCACACCTCAGCTAATCCATTGGGATGTGCCCTCCGCAGCTCACACTCACCTTCCTGCTGACCCCTCCCTGGTCCAGGAAGCCGCGCAGTTTCTGGATGTAGACAGACGGCGGGCTCCGGACCTGGAACCTCTCCTGGAGCAGATCAGAAACAGTCAGACCCACAACACACACGCAACACTCATACACACCACACACACGGACAATACACACACAGCCACACATATGGCTACACGTCAGACACACTACACACACAAGCTAAACCCACAGAAGATTTAATGGTCTTTTTACATTTCCCTGATCCAAACAGCATCACAGCACATACACACACACATACACAAACACCCTGACACACACGCACACACCCTGACATACACACACACACAAACACCCTGATACACACACACACACTGACGCACCCAGACGTACAGACACACACGGGCGCTGGGAGGGGGAGCCAGTCACCTGATCGCAGATAAGGTCCCATTTCTTCTCACTATCGTACTGGTTCAGTAAAGACACCTTCTCAGGTGGCAGGTTCATGCAGTTCTGCAGATAAGAAGGAAAAGTGTCATCCTGGTTCTCGTTCCCCACCTTCACCCAAACTCTCACCCACACCCTCACACTCCCTCACCCTTACCAGCAGCCAAACAACATGTTGGCATATCACACAGCACCAAGAAGGTCAAACATCTCCCAGTGCTGCCCGGAGGATCGTCGAAGGTAGTGACTGTGTATGTGTAGAGAAACACTGCAGCCTTTTGCTCACAACTGCTCTTCCCTTACACCTCTCTCTCTCTGTCTCTCTCTCTCTCTTCAATGAATCCCTGTCTCAATCTTGTAGGCTAGTGATCAGGTAGACTCCCGGGCGGACCAGGCAAAACCTTAGGCAAGTTTTCTTACTCCACACGCCTCTGTTTACCTAGCAGTAAGCAGGAACCCAGCTGTTAGTTGATTGGCGGATCGCTTTTCCGGGGGTAAAAATCCCTTCCAAAAAAAAATAATAATAATAATTTGGTCACTCAATCCACGACTGTCTGTGGGATACTGCTGTGGCAATTCGCTTCCGCATTTCGCCCACAAAATACAGTCAATTCAGTTTACAGTATATTCTATGAAGCGGTTTGAGATGTCTCAATGATATGACAAGGCTTTAGGTTGGACCTGTGTGAGTGCGAGGCTCCCTGAGCCTGAGCCAGGCCTGTTCATCCCTCAGGGCACAGCTGCACAGCCCCGTCAGGCGAGGGGGGGACTGGTGGGGCGGGTCTGGGGGTTCAGGAAGCTGGGTTGTCGCTTGGTTCTGCTTTCAGTTTCCGGTAACACTGGACAAAGCTCCTACAGTCAAAGTGAGTCTAACACTGAGCTCACACAACAGCAAGTGACATTTACACAGCGCCATTCATGTCAGGAAAACGTCCCAAGGGCTAGACAGTCTGGGATTTGGCCCTGAGGTGGAGGTTAGGATCAGGAGATGGGTGGAAGGCAGGGAAGGCAGGGGTAGGAGGGTGGCTGAAAGTGTGGTCGAAGAGGAGGGTCTTGAGACGTGCCTTGAAGGAGGCGAGTGAGGGGGCAAGAAGAAGGGATTGTGGGATGCAGTTCCAGAGGGTGGGCGCAGAAAGTGCCTCAGACTAACACCGAAGCTATGTTATGTTATGTATTGTGGCTGAGAGAGGGAGGGGCTGATAGGATCTGGGTGGAAGGTAGGTATACAGTGTGCAATGTGACTTATCATGAAGTGAGCGTGTGCTGTTTCACAGAGTTCCACCCTCTCGGTTACACCCTGTGGTTTTCCTGCTTCGTCAAACATTTCACTGCAGACACTTCCACCTTGATCTGTAACAACCATTTCACATCCAGCTTCCTCCTGCCTTCATCACTGCTTCCCCTGCCCCTGCCCCCTTCGTCCTGCCCCCTCGTCCCGCCTCCTGCCCCTTCCCCCATCCTTCTAACCCCCCTCGCCCAGCCCCTAAACCCCTCCAGCCCACTGCCTCCCTGGAGTTCCAAAGGGTGGGGGCAGAGAAGCTGAAAGCCTGGCCGCCAATGGTAGGACGGGTCGGGCAGGAGACATGGAGCAGGCCGGAGCCTGGTGCAGGAGAGGACACAAGCTGCAGAGTTCTGGATGATCTGCAGCTTGTGGAGGGAAGAGTTGGGGGAGGTCGACAAGGAGGGAGTTTCCATAGTCGAGCCTTGACGAATGAGTCATGAGGGTTTCAGCAGCCTGAGAGGTGAAGCAGTGATGGAGCCAGGCAATGTTGCAGAGGTGGGGGAAAGCAGAGTGAGTCATGGCACAGATATGGGAGAAGAAATACAGTTGAGGGTCAAAAAAGATGGCCAGGTTCCTGACTGGCTTGGTGATGTGGAGTGTGCATCCTTGAATGGTGATGCTGCCAATGCCTGAGGTGCAGAGGCGCTGGCATGAGCAATCAAGAAGGCCTCGGTTTTGCTGACATTCAGCTGCAGAAAGTTGGCTCTAATGACGTCCGACAGACAGTCTGTCAGGACACCAGTAGTCCTGGAATCGAGAGTGGAGGCAGAGAGATAGAGTTGGGTGTCATCTGCGTACATGTGGAAGTTGACCCCATGTCTGCCGATAATGTCAACAAGGGGGAGCATATATAGGTTGAAGAGGAGGGAACCGAGGACAGAGCCCTGAGGAACACGCACGAGACTGTGCGGGGGCTGGAATAGAAACCATTGGCGGAGACAAATTGGTGTGAGAGATGAGACCTGAACTATTCAAGGACAGAACCTTGAAGGTTGAGGTGAGAGGAGAGGCGGTGGAGGAGAATGGAGTGGTCCATGGTATCAAAAAGGCAACAGAGATGTCGAGGAGTCAGAGGGAGCCCTGGTCACAGATGGACAGGATGTTTGTTACCTTGACTAGAGCAGTTTCCATGCTGTGAGTAGCACAGAAACCCAAATGGAGGGGCTTGTGAAGGGAATCGTGGGAGAGGTAGGAGCAAGGGTGGGAAGCAACAGCTCTTTCGAGGACCTTGGAAAGAAAAGGGAGGTTGGAGATGGGCCGGTAGTTAGAGAGCAGGAATGGGTCCTGGGAAGGTCTTGTCAGGATGGGGTGGTTATAGCTGTTCTTAAGGGGATGGGAGCGGTGCAGATGACAGGGATTGATGGTCTCGGAGAGTGGAGTAGAGGGGCGAGGAGGTGGCGCTGGGAGGTAAGGAGAGGGGTGGGGAATGGGGTCAAGGGACCAGGTCGACCAGGTGGTGTGTCTCATGCTGGATATGGTGGTGGTGATGATGAGAGGGGACAACAACAATAACTTATATTGCACCCTATATAATGGCACGGGGTGGGGGGGGGGGGGGGGGCGAGACGTCGACAACTACCTCCCTGACGTGTGTTTGGTGTTTGGACGGAGAGAAGACGTCCCGAGGTGTTGGGGAGCGACAGTAAAGTGAACAAACTCCATCCACCCCCAAACTTAGCGCCTCTGATCTTAACCACAGGCAGCAGTGACTATACCGATGCCTGTACTATTTATTGTCTGAGGGGAAAATGCTACCGTCGCCGCTCTAAATAAACCCGGGTGGGGGGGGGGGTTGTACGAGCTGCAGAACCGCACTCTCTTACCCCCAAAGAGACAATGCGGGAGAGGCAGAGGAGAGAGTGGGTCACAGAGAGAGATGGAGACGGACAGAGAGTGAGAGAGATGGAGACGGACAGAGAGTGAGAGAGATGGAGACGGACAGAGAGTGAGAGAGATGGAGACGGACAGAGAGAGAGAGAGATGGAGACGGGTGGTGTGGTGTGGGGTGGGGGGGCACACAGCCCCGGGAGAGATCAGGCCCCGATGTCGGGCTGAGCACCGACAGTGCAGACGATGCCCCGTTGACCCCCTCGTCGGCCCCCGCACAGCGCCTTCCAACGCGCGTGGAAACTAATTGACCGCGTGTAGCCCACACAGCGACCCAACAAACTCACTTAATAGGTCTGTAAACCCACCGACAAAAGCTGCCAACTCCACGGACAACACGCGCGCAAACTGGTCATTTCTCCAGCGACGCGACCCAACGACCGCATGTGTTGGTGCGTGTGAGAGTGTCTGTGTGAGTGTATGTGAGTGTTTGTGAGTGTTTGAGTGTTTGTGTGAGTGCCTGTGAGAGTGTCTGTGTGAGTGTGTATCTGTGTGTGAGTGTGTATCTGTGTGTGAGTGTGTATCTGTGTGTGTGTGAGTGTATGTGAGTGAGTGTGTGAGTGCGTGAGTGTAAGTGTGTGCGAGAGTGTCTGTGCGTAACACTCACCAGAACATGTGAGAACCTCTCCTCCAGCTCCTGCTCGGTGCTGGGCCGGGAGTGGCGTTGGGGGCTGGCAGTGGCTGTGGGGGGCGTTGAGGCGGGGGTCTGGCCGCTCCTACCCTCCTTGGCCCCCGGTGACACCTCCAGGCTGCCCGCAGCGTTCCCCATCCTACCGCCGCGGGGCCGCGCTCTCTCCAGAGTGACTCCTGCCCAGTGCCGGCGGGTGGAGTTCCTGCCAGCGATGGGCTGGTGCCCGGCAGACAGACACACAGACAGGCAGCTAGACAGTCAGGTGGACCCCCCCAACACACACAGACAGGCAGCTAGACAGTCAGGTGGACCCTCCCCAACACACACAGACAGGCAGCTAGACAGTCAGGTGGACCCTCCCCAACACACACAGACAGGCAGCTAGACAGTCAGGTGGACCCTCCCCAACACACACAGACAGGCAGCTAGACAGTCAGGTAGACCCCCCGCCCCCACACACACAGACAGGCAGCTAGACAGTCAGGTAGAACCCTCGCCCCCACACACACAGACAGGCAGGGCGCGGGCTCAGGCACCCGTTCACTATCCTCTCTGGTCCAAACAGTGACTCGGGCGCACATCCATCGTCTGTCTCTCACACCCCAACCCCACTGCGCACTCCCAGCCCCCGATCCACAGCCGCACTCCGCACAGGCAGTGGGGGGGGGGGGAAGGGGGGGGGCTTGCTGACAGGCAGAGAGAGAGGGGGGCAGGGAGAGGCAGACAGGCAGGGAGAGGCAGACAGGCAGACAGGCAGGGAGAGGCAGACAGGCAGGGAGAGGCAGACGGGCAGGGAGAGGAAGACAGACACGGTGAGGGAGGAGGTGGGGACAGGAGGAAGTCGCTTTCAGCGCTAAACACAGCGTTGAGTTTCCTGTACAAACTGAAGGCTTTGGCTTAGCTCAGTCACCGCGGATCCCTCGCTCCTCCAGCCTCGATCAGTCAGACAGCGCTCTCGCCCCCCTCTCACCTATCTCCCCCCAACCTCCCCTCCTCCCTCCACACACACACACAGACACTTAAGACAGTGGCGGGTCCAAGCCCCCTATCCAGGCTGCGAGCCCGCGGTGTGGGGTGACCGTCCCTGGCGGTGTGTGTGTGTGTGTGTGTGTGTGACTGCATCTTCCAGATGTCACCTTTAAACCAGATCTTGTCATATTCGGGTAAAGTTCCCAAACGCAACACTGGAAAAGTGAAGGGAGTTTCTCTCTCTCTCTCTCTCTGTCGCTCTCCAGTGTCCTGGCCGACAATCCTGATTAAAATTCACTTTACAGTATCTAAGGTCAAGGGCTTTGAGACGTCTTGAAGACGTGATGAGCTGCTGTACCGAATGCAAGGATTATTATTATTATTATTATTATCTTTCATCTCCTGGCTGTTTGTGGGACATCTCTAATAATAACCCCTCGGCAAGACCCGAGCAACACACCACAAGGAGGTGACGCGTTCAAGGAGCAAGGATTATCCTTACATAAATACAACGGCAACAATTTACACAGCGTCATGAAGCGCCTCACCCGGATAGCCGGAGATGACCAAAACCAAAATGCCTTTGAAACGTTTGGTAGATATTTATTTGTTGCTTAATTTCACAGTTTATTGGGGAGTGATTCTGTACGTCCATCCAGCCACAAAAGAGTCGATTCGCTTTACACTTTATTACTCAGAAGCGCTTTGAGACGCCTCAAACACGTGATAAGGCGCTAAATCAAATGCAAAGATTATTATTATCCACCTGTATGAGTGTAAATCTGTCTCTGTGTGTGTGAGTCTCACTGTCTGTGTGTGCGAGTGTGTGTGTCTCTCTGACCGTGTGTGTCTCTGTGTGCGTGTGTGTGTGTGTCTCTCTCTCTCTTCTGCAGATGTGCACCTTATGTTTACATTGTGGATTGCTTCCTTTTTCGATATTTGCGGTTTATCCAAAAGTAAAGGTCACAAAAACAATTATTCAGACAAAATGAGGAACGATGACTTCATTTGCTTCAATATTTTACCCCACAAAATTTTCTCTTGGCCCTCGGAGGTTCCCGCTGTGCGTAGCCCTGGGCGGTGCCAACAGACACCAAGCCACTAGAGCCCTCGTCACATCATAATCATTATTCTAGAAGGTTCCTCGCCTGCCGGCTTGTGCGGCTCAGCCATTCACTGGATGGACCCATTGGAGACCCACAGTTAATAAACTTACACACAACCTAATCCTAACAGGACCTCAGAAGACCTCTCCCTTCCCCAGCCCTGTTCCCACTCCCTCCTCCAACTCCACTCCTGTTCCGAACACTCAGCCCATCCGCACCCAGCCCCTCCCCCGGCCAGGCTGCCGATCGTTGTGTGACGGTGACTCATTCTGAGCTGCTACGTGGCGTTTTGACAGTTTCACCCTTTCACAAGAACCCAACAGTTCCAATTCCTCAATCTCCTGCTCACAGAGCCACCGGCCCCCAAACACCAACACAAGCTTCCTGTCCCTGAGTGACGACCATACACTCATCAGAGCCATTTCCCTCTCCCAGGGGTTGGTGCTGGGGCCGGGGGGGGTTGGCGCTGGGGGCAGGGGGTTGGCGCTGGGGGCAGGGGGTTGGCGCTGGGGACAGGGGGTTGGTGCTGGGGTTGGGTTGGAGCAAAGCCACTGTGAACAGGCTCTCACTTGCTCTCTGCAGCTCCTGAATGATTCAGTGACCAGCCCGATCCCGGCCTCCTCCCTGGGGAGGCTCTGGTTACTTCAACATGGCCTCATAGCGCTCGCCTCCTGCTACTGTCGGTGTCTATGTTCAGCACCTTTACCCCCCCCACCCCCACCCAACCGAGCCGTCTCAGTAATCCTTCTCCTAAACCGTACCCCCATCCACCCCCTCCCAGACTATCCGCTCACTCGCAACCCCTCTCCCCAGCCTGCCCCCACCCCACTGTCCCATCAATTGTGCCACACGCTGACCCCCCCCACCCCACCGCAATGGACGCAGCATTGCTCACTTGGGGATGGGGGGTGGGGGTGGAGGCTTGCAATTCCCTGGGTTCTCAGCCTGTGGACATTTTGTCTTGCAATTAAAGACGGAGCAGGATTGTGCAAAGTGCCCTCATTTCAGTGTTAAATTCGCGGCCAGTTTGAATCGCTTCCAAACTCAGGCTTGGAATTGGGATGGGATTGGACATAGCTGAGGAGGCTGATCTAGTCCTTTCCCACCGTGTCACTAACCAGCTCCACTCTCACACTCAGGACCAGTGGTTGTGCTGTAACCAGCGACACTGACCACTGACCAGCAGCTCTGGTGTTTGAGAGATGGAGGAGTGTGTGACAGCAATGGGGGGAGTTTATCAGCAGTTTAACAAGCGGTGACTGCTCAGGCTTGCTGCTGTCTGTCCTGGCACATACAATGGCACAGGCTTGGGTTACAGCACACACACTGCACCAGCATCAATTATTGAGGGTAGATTGGAGCCAGGGCCGTGTGGCAGCTCAGGCTGGCGGCCTGGGGCTGGTGGCCTGGAAGATGGAGATGTGAACAGCGACTGAGAGCCTTTGCCTCTGGGGTTTTCCCCCCATCCCAGGCTCAGCAACGGGAAAACAAAATATACAAAGAGTCTGACAGGGCACAGGGCTGGTGCTAGAATCTCATTAGGGTGGGGAGGGGGTGCGTTCTGCACCCCCCCCACCACCCGCCACCCCCCCACCCATCTCTCAGTGAGTGACAGGACAGGGCCAGGGCCTGAGCTCAGGGCCTCTTTTCCGGTTTTGATGCGATGTTTTGCATTTCTGCTCGAAGCCCAGATTGACTACCTCGGCTCAGTCACATGACAGGAAAGAGCCTCTACACATCATGACAAACGGCTCAGAAACAGATTCGGAAAATGATCTGCAGCTCTCCATGTGACGGGAAGTGGTTTTAATGTAGAACCGAACAGGCCCTTGTGAGCAGGAACCACAGGCTGAGCACTCCCAAAATACAGTCTCCGTCCATCTGTGCATGTGTCCTCAGCCCCTTCATATGTCCCCCTCCCTCCGCACCCAACGGGAATCACTGCTCCCAGCACGGGCTGAGCAGCCCCCAGACACCCGACTGCACACTGAGAGATGCCACCATCACACCCAGCCTCGCCTCGCCTCTCGCTGTTAGTCTCTGAGACAACATCAAGCATTGCAACATCAGAACATCCTGCACCGGAAACCAACAGCTCAGCACACACTGAAATAAATACATCAACCCTTCCCTCCCTCTCTCGCTGGCTCTCTCTCTCTCACTCTCACCTATCGTCTCAACCTATATCGTCAACAAACTAGCTGGACTGAGTGACCTGTTTCCGCACTGCATCACTCTGTTATACTAAGCACCTCAGGACGCTCTCCTGACATGGAAGCTGCTATACAAGTGTAGGACGTTGTTGCATACAAATTGGCAGCGGGGGCCGCATTTGCTTACAAAGTGCACGGTCGCTACAGAGAGAGAGAGAGAGAGAGAGAGCAGCGTGAAGCGCTTTGAGACATCGACGCACGATGAGAGTGAGGCGTCAAACACGTCGATCATCACAGGATAAATCGTCCGGCAAAACAGTGGTTGGGTTTACACCAAAACTCCCTCAGCCTCTCCCCCGGTCCTCAATGCACCTCTGCCACCTGCTGGACCGCGTGGGGTACCACAGCCGGCAGAGACGATGGGGGGGTTCTGTGGGGGCGCGGTGGGGGGGGTTGGCGGGGGCTCGTCTATCTGCGTTGGATGGCGATCAGCGAGAGCACGGTGAGCGAGGCTGAGCAGCGGCACACCCCCAGCGAGTTGGTGGCCCGGCAGCTGTACTGGCCAGAGTCTGCGGGGCTGGCGTTGGCGATGATCAGCGAGCAGCTGCCGTCCTCCTCGTACTCGATCCGCACGCGCCTGGACACGCTGACCGCCTGCCCGTCCTTGTACCACATCACCTCGGGCTCCGGGGTCCCTGAGACGCAGGCGGGAGGCACAGAGCACAGCGCGGTCAACGGCAAACACGGTGCGTCTGTCACACCGACCGTCCCCCGGCCCCCCCCCCTCCCCCCCCTCCGGTTCCCCCCCCCCCCCACCCCACCCCATCTGCCTCATGCACTTCGCATCCGCCACATCCCACGACCCCCCCCCCCACCGCTGACACCCATACGGCTGGTGATCCCATCATCCAAACAACAACAACTTGCCTTCACGCAGCGCCCCTCCCAGAATGCTTGACAGTGGCGGAGCACGAGGCCGAACCGAGGGGAGAAGAGGTCGAAGAGGACCTGAAGATGGGGAGGGAGGGAAGGGGGGAGGGAGGGAGGGAAGGAGGGAAGGCGGGGGCAAGGTGGAGGGATGGAGGGAGAGAGTGAGTAGCAGGTGTGGTACCTTGGATGTGACACTGCAGACACACTGCGCTGCCCTCCAGCTCCTCCAGGTCCCCCAGGACTTTGCTGAAGGACGGCTCCGTCTGAAGCTGTTGATCCGCAGCAGAGAGAACCTCTGGCTCCCGGCTCAGCTCTGACACACACACACAGACAGACACCGCGGGTCACACACATGTCAACCCCAGAGACCCTCAGAGACACGGCACTTACATACAGCACACACGTACACATACACGCGCACCACGCGGGCACGCGCACACATGCGCGGTACGCACACACACACACACCACATGCGCGGTACACACACACATGCACCTCACATGCACGATACACACACACATACCAGATGCGTGCGGTACACACATCACATGCGCGCGGTACACACACACACATCACATGCGCGCGGTACACACACACACACACTCCCGAGTGCAAGTTACCGTTGTGTGGCGGGGGGGAGCGGGGGCGCTGGGTGTTGGGCTTTCTGGGGCCGCGCAGTGTCAGCCTCTTGAGTGCCAGCAGAGCCCGGCCTGTTTTCTACAATAGAGAGAGAGAGAAGATACGGTGTGTGAGACATGAGTTTGTATCCCGGGGCTTCACCGGGGCTTCACCGGGGCTTCACCGGGCAAGTGGCTCCTACCTGCCATTTCCGCTTGGCGAGGAATTGCTTCATTCGCTCCTTGGACAGGGTCTTGGTGACCCCCCGCCTCCTGCTGTTCAGCCAGCGGTGGGACAGGCAGCCCTCCGAGCTCAGCCGCCTCCTAAACACAGGCACCCGGGGTCAAACACCGGGAAATACACCCCCAAATACACCCCCCAAATACACCCCCCCAAATGCACCCCCCCAAACACCCGCCCCCAAACACATCACCAAATACACCCCCAAAACACACCCCGGCAGGGAGCAGAGCCACTCCTCACCTCCAGTCCCTCTGCAGCAGAGACGAGATAAAGTCCTTGGCATCCTCGGAGATTTCCTCAAACGCCTCCTCGTCAAACTCCCAGCGAGCAGCCGTCACGTTAGCCAGAGTCTCGTCGTCTGTGTCACCCAGGAACGGGGACAATCCACTCAGCCTGCGGGTGGGGGGCGGGGGTGGGAGAGAGAGAGGGAGAGAGAGTCATCGCTGAGCAAACCACAACCCCAGTAAAGAGATCACATCCCCAATCACCCCCACCCCCCAGCCCAGGCCAGCAGCCCAGACCCCAGGCCAGCCTTCAGCCTGACTCCCCCCCCCCCCCCAGCTCAACACCAACACAGCCTGGGGGCTGAGAGACAGCCTCAAACTCATCACCGAACCCAGGGGGTAGACATCCTTGGGACATCCTTCCGATGTGAGAGGCGCTATACAAATGTCATTTGTTGTTGTACAAATTCTCGGGTTGATTGTCAGGCAGAGACCCCGGCCCCCACACACTCCTGAACACTATCCAGACACCCCCCCTCCCCCTCCCCCCCACGCTAGTGGAAGGTCAGAGAGTGTGGAGGTTAGGATGGATCAGGCTCGATCCGCCCACGGTCAATGTTCCTGGAGACTGGGAGATGAGATGGGGGGAAAATGGGTGTGTGTGAGCGTTCCCCCTCCCCCCCCGCCGCAGTGCCAGCCCCAGTGCCCCTGCACGGCCCAGAGTGACTCACAGGATGTAGCTGATGACCCCGATGCTCCAGGTGTCCGTGTTGAACTGCACAGCCTCATAGTTGATGACTTCGGGGGCTACAAATTCCGGGGTCCCACACAGCACCTTCACCGGAGCCGAGGGGTCTGGGTAGAGAGAGAGAGGGTGGGGGGGCGGTGGGAGAGAGGGGGAGAGAATGAGTGGGGAGAGAGGGGGAAGAGAGAGAGAGAGAGAGAGGGGGGTGGTGGGAGAAAGAGAGAGCGAGGAGAGGAGAGAGAAGGGAAGGGAGAGACAGCGGGTGTGGGGTGGGGGGGGGGGGGAGAGAAGGGGCAAGAGAGAGGGGTGGTGAGTTGAATGTGGACATGCAGTGCTATCATTACACCAGGGTGTGGCACTGCAGGCACATCACCCACCACAGAACCAAACAGTGTGATGGGGAGCCAGGTGCGGAGATGGCTCAGTGCTCACTTGTTGCTGGGGTCGGAGCTGAGGGGGGGGAGCGTCCCAGAGGGAACATGCATTAAATAGGCCACAGGCCTGGGGTTACAATGGGGGCAATGTCAGCACAGACACCAGGAAGTGGGTCCTCCCCTGGAGGATCGTCAGTGAGCGGAACAGTGTCTTAATCCAAACCACCATCGACTCAGTAGGCGTCAGTGGCCGGTGCCCCTCATCCCCGCCTGACTCGGCAGCTTGTGGGTTCACACCCCCAGAACTGGAGGAGAGGGAGGGGGAGGTGGAGCGGGGCCGAGTGGAGTGGGGCGGGGCAGGGCGGAGGAGGTGCGGTTGAGCAGGGTGGGTAGGTGGGGCCGAGCAGGGGTTTTGGGGCGATTAGGAGGGGGCCGGGCTGGGGGTGGTGGGGGGCGGGCACACGCTCACCCAGTCGCTGGGCCAGCCCGAAGTCGATGATCTTGATGCCGGTGCAGGTCGGGCTGACACACACCACGTTCTCCGGCTTGAGGTCCAGGTGGACGACTCCGCTCGAGTGCATGAACTGCAGCCCCTCCAGCATCTGCTGCACGTACCAGCAGCACGTCTGCTCCGTCAGCTCCTCGTCCTTATCCACCAGGCGCTCAAACAGCTCCCCGCCCGCAACGCTGCGCACGCGCACACACCACACACCGTCACTCCCCCTGTCCCCCCCGCAACACTGCGCGCACACACCACACCGTCACTCCCCCTGACCCCCGCAACACTGCGCGCACACACCACACCGTCACTCCCCCTGTCCCCCCCGCAACACTGCGCGCACACACCACACCGTCACTCCCCCTGACCCCGCAACACTGCGCGCACACACCACACCGTCACTCCCCCTGTCCCCCCCGCAACACTGCGCGCACACACCACACCATCACTCCCCCTGTCCCCCCCGCAACACTGCGCGCACACACCACACCGTCACTCCCCCTGTCCCCCCCGCAACACTGCGCACACACACCACACACAGCATCAATCTCTCTCCCTCTCCCCCCACCCCCCCCCAAATACTGACAGACGCACACAGACATCAATCACCCCCTCCTCCTGTAGCAGCTCAAAGAGCTCCCCCCACTCTCTTACCCCAACTGAGGTCGCCATTGTTCCCCTCCACTCCCTCCCCCCCCAACTCGCTGCTCTCAGCCTGGGAGATGTGAAGGACAAGTGGAGGTCGTTCAGGAGGAAGTGTTTGCCCCGAGGGCTTGACGAGAACGGTTGCCAGGCAGGGAGAGGGTGGAGGTTAAGGCACTGGATGGACTTGGCTCAAGCCACAGCTTCAGCGAATTGTGACGGCTGGAGAGGCGTTCACACGTGTACACAGACGTGTGCGTGTGCGTGGACGCAGCCTCTGGAGCGGGTGACGTACTGGCCGGGCTGGTGACCCAGTGAAACAGGCAGCGTGTAAAGAGAGGACGCGTGTGGCTTCCCAGGTCCCCCAGGTCTCTCCCCTCCCCATCCCCCGGGTCTCTCCCCTCCCCATCCACCAGGTCGCTCCCCTCCCCATCCCCCAGGTCGCTCCCCTCCCCATCCCCCAGGTCTCTCCCCTCCCCATCCCCCAGGTCTCTCCCCTCCCCATCCCCCAGGTCTCTCCCCTCCCCATTCCCCAGGTCTCTCCCCCTCCATCCCCCAGGTCTCTCCCCCCACCATCCCTCACGTCTCTCCCCCCACCATCCCTCACGTCTCTCCCCGTCCATCCCCCAGGTCTCTCCCCCCCCACATCCCCACTCACTCACTATTCCATCACCATGACGATCTCGGTGGAGGTCTCAAAGGCGGCCATGCACTGAACCAGCCGGGGGTGGTGGAGGCTGTTCATGATGTGGATCTCGTTGCGCGCGAGCTGTTTGTCTTTGGCCGATCGAGCTTTGTAATATTTCCCCGCGCAAAGCCGCCCGCTCGCTCTCTCCAGCAGCTTGTAAACCTGCCCGAACTTCCCGCTGGGAACACACAGAGCAAGAGGTCAGCGCTCACAACCGCGACCGACCGGCATCGCCGGGGGAGATTACCAGGAAGGGCTCAGCGTGAGCGTCACCGGGGAAGGGGGCCGCGGTGGTGATGGAGGGGGTCAGGGACAGGATGGAGGGGTCAGTGGCGGGAGGGAGGGGTCAGTGGCGGGAGGGAGGGGGAGACACTTACACTCCGAGCCGCTCCAACTGCTGATAAACGTCGGTCACTTTCTGGCTCCGGTTGATAACCACATGGTGATACTCCCCCTCCTCCTCTCCATCACCCCTCGCGCCTGTGCCTAACACACACGGTCTGAATTCACACACACACACAACACACGCGCACACAACACACGTCCACAAACACGTACAACATTGATATTGTGCCCCCTCAAGCAGGGAAGCGTCCCAGAGCGCATAGGTTCGCGCACACTCATGTACACACATGCTCACACACGTGCACATGCTCGCTGGATAATTCAGCCTTCATTCAGAAGTGGGATTGCTGCTGCTTGTGTAAAGCTTGTCTGTGGCGGCAACACAGTACAGGGCCAGTATGTGAGTGCGAGTGCGAGCGTGAGTGTGAGTGAGTGTGCGAGCGTGAGTGCGAGCGTGAGTGCGAGTGTGAGTGCGAGCGTGAGTGTGAGTGAATGTGTGAGTGTGAGCGCGTGCGTGAGTATGCGAACATGAGTGTGTGAGCGTGAATGCGAGCGTGAGTGTGCGAGTGTGAGTGTGCATGTACGTGTTTGAGTGGGTGTGAGAGCCAGCACGTGACGAGCCACACTTACCTGGTGTTTGCTGGCGGCCGAGGGGCTTGGTCTCTGGACGGAGGCTGGTGGAGAGGGTCCCAGGGTTGGCGCTGAGAGGAGTGGTCTCTGCCCGGAGGCTGATGGGGGGGGTCTCGGAGCCGGGGTCGCTGGAGCCGCAGCTATTGACGGCTCGGATACGGAAGATATAGTCTCCTGGCTCCAGGCCGCGGACACAGTACGAGGTGCTGCCGCAGTCGGTGACCAGTGGCCCCCACTCCGGCCCCCCCACTCGCCGGGCCTCCACCGTGTAGCCCCGCACCGCACAGCCCCCGTCATAGCATGGCCCTGACCAGGAGAGGCACAGAGACCCCCCGATCAGCTCCGACACACAGGGATGGCCCGCTGGGGGCTGGGGTCTGTCTGAGAGACAACAACAATAGAGTCACACCTACAGCTCCCGTCACCGAGAACCGCCTGAGTGTAGTGACTGTGTACGTGCAGGGGCCGAGTGGGAGAGAGCGTGACAGGCCCCCCCCACCCTCTCCACCCCATTCTTTGCTCCACCCCCCACTACCCGCCGTTCACTCTGCGCGCCCCCGCCCCACCCCCACCTCAGTCCTGTCTGTGTCCAGCGCTGCGTGCGACATGTGAGGCTGTGTAAACACGAGCTGTTGTTGTTGTTGTTGCTCTCACCGGTGACGCTGAGCCTGATCGGCTGCTGTAAACTGCCGCTGTGATTCGTCACCACCAGTGTGTAAACCCCGGCATCTGCCGCCTGCACCTCCTCAATCACCAGCCTCACCTCCCTCTCCCTCGCCTCCACTCTCACCCGGGGGCTGCTCACCAGCTGCAACAACAACAACAGCAACGACGACAACACCTCTATGGCATCTCACACCCAGGATAGCGCCCCGGAGAGCTTGACAGTGTCGGAGGAGCACGGCCCTGGGCCGGTGGGAGAGGGTAACCGAAGGCACGGTCGGAGAGGAAGGTTGACCTGAAGACGGGGGAGAAAGGGGCAAAGCAGAGGGATAGAGTTTCGGGCACAGCATAGCGGTTGGAAGTGCAGCCGCCAATGGTGGAACGGAGGGGACGAGGAGCAAACAGGAGGCCGGAGCCAGTGGAGCGGAGGCAGCAGGTGGTGGGTTGGGGGATAAGCAGGTCAGAGTGAGGGGGAGGGATTTGAAAATGAGGGTGTGAGGGTCTTGAAATCGATCCATTTGGTGATAGGGAGCTAGTGAGGCCTGGCGAGGGCTGGGGTGATGGGGGGACGGGGTTCAGTGCGGGAGAGTGTGTGGGCGGTGGAGTTTTGGATTAGTTGGATTTTGTGGATGGTGGAGCTGGGGAGACCAGCGAGGAGGGGATTGGGATAATCGGGGCAGGAGGTGATGCCGTGTAGTGGAAGTAATAACAGAGCAATCAGTGTTGGGGGAGGCGGTGGGGGGCGCGGGGAGGGATTCTAGAAATTGACTGAAATTCCCAACTTCACCCCTTGAGAGCTGCTGAACTGCTCTCGCCTCTCCTCTCTCTCCACTCCTCTCCTCTCCTCTCACCCACCTGCTTGCTGTCTCTGAGCCAGATTGCTGTGATGGGTGGGGTTCCTGCTATCCCACAGCCCACCTCAGCTCGCTGCCCAGCCCGGACCTCTACACTGCAAGGGGGGTCCCGGAGGCACAGGGCGTCGCTCACTTTACCCGTTGGCTTCTGTGAGCTGATGGAATCTGCCGAGAGACAAAAAAAACAGAACAGTATTAAACACTACAGTTTATACTGACACGTGGAGCCCTTCACATCGGGTGGTGGTGGGCGGGGGGAGGTGGGGGACGGACGGACGTCTCGAAGCCCTTCACACCCCTGGCTGTTGGTGGTGGGAGGGGGAGGTAGGAGATGGGGGGCATCAGAAAGGTCATTGATGCCTCTTACTGTGACATTCACCACAAAGTGCATGTCGCGGCTGGGGTTGTGGTTAGGACTCGAATTCAAGATCCTCGTCCTCACTTTCAAGGCCATCCATGGCTTTGCCCCCCCCACTTACCTCTCTGACCTGCTGACTCTCTACCAACCTGCCCACTCCCTCTGTCCATCAGGCTCCGGCTGCTCCGTGTCTCCCGCCCGACCATCGGTGGCCGTGCTTTCAGCCTCTCTGCCCCCACACTCTGGAACTCCATCCCACAGTCCCTTCGCCTCGCTTCCTCCCTCGCCTCCTTCAAGGCCGGTCTCAAGAACTTTCTCTTCGACTGTGCCTTCGGTCTCCCTCTCACCTCTCTTGCCTTCCCTCACCCCTACCCCACACCCACTCCCCCATGCTCGGGTCCTAACCCCTGACCGTCCAGCGCCTTGGAACGTCCTCCCAATGTGAAAGGCGCTCTATAAATGTAATTTTGTTGTTGTTGTAGGGCTGTGGCTGGAAACAGGGGATGTGGTGAGGGGCAATGTGTTTGCACAGGCAGCTCCTGTCACTGTCGCTATCACTGTCACCAGGCGACAGAAACACAGCCATTTATTAATGATAAAAGCAAAGAGCAGCTCAGCTTTCCGGTCACTCACTCCAGCAGCTACTGAGGTCCTTAGCTTATCTGGTCCCCACAAAGCGCTCGCATCAGCCCCCTGCTTCAGCCCCCACCCCCCAACACCCCCAGCTTCAACCGCACGCCCCCCAAGCCCAGCCTCATCCCCACCCTCCCACCAGGCTATACCCCCAGACCCCAGCCCACCTCGCTGCTCATCTCAGGCTTCCCCAAACATAGCCTCCTCTCCCCTCAGCCTCTACTCAGTCCTTCTGAGGAACATCTTTAATAATAGTCAGAAAATCTCAAGTAATCAGACAAAAACTGCATGTATTATATACAGGGCATGATATACACAGTATTATAGTGTGGAAAACAAATACACTTGACTGTGCAGGACACTGGTATGCACACACAGTCACACAAGCGCACACAGTCTCTCACAGTCACACACACAGTCACATACACACAGTCACAGACACAGTCACACACACATACAGTCAGTCACACACACTTACGGTCACAGTCACACACACAGTCGCACACAGTCACAGATAATAATAATAATCCTTGAATTTGATATCGCGCTTTTCACGTCTTCTCGACATCTCAAAGCGCTTCACAGAATAGACTGTAAAGTGAATTGACTGTATATTTGTGGGCGAAATATACAGTCACACACATACAGTAACACACACCGTCGCACACAGTCACACACACACACAGTCACACACACACACCCAGTGGAAGCCTCTCACCAATCCCCACTCTGACCCCTCGGCCCTTCTGCTCGGGGGCTTTCTGCAACCTGATCCTCAGGGATGAAACAAAGTTCATGATCTCGTAGGCTGTGTCCCCAGCCGGCAACTGACTGACTGAGTGACTGACTGACCTGCTCAGCCTCGTCACAGCCACAGGAAACTGCTTTTTTACTTGTCAACAAGGTTATTAACCCGGATGGCCCAACGCCAAGCATAGCACTCACACTGCTCACTAACTCACACATACACACTGCTCACTAGCATACACGTCACGCAGGACCTGAAGATGGGGAAAGAGAGGGCAAGGCGGAGGGAATGAGGAAGAGAGTTCCTCTAGAGATTAGTGTCACTCCCAGAGGAAGGTCCTCAGTGTTAATTGGAGAACAACAAATCTCGCATTCAATGCGGCATCTGTAACACTGAAACGTCTCTGAACGCCCCGTAAGGTGGATTGCTGTAAGGTGTAGTGTCTGTGTGTCTGTAGGCAAATGCATCCAAATGACACAGTTTTAATTTCAGTCACGAGCGAGGCTGCAATGCAACTGTCAGTGCATGGCGCTGATGCACTGAGCTCTTGAACCAGTGAACAAAGTCACTTGTCACACCTTTACTCTCGCTTCTCACTCCTGTTCCTCTCGAACATCCGACCACTTTAACGCTTTGTAACATGTGAAAATGATACAGCAGTTCGGCTTTTTATATTCTCTCAACAAATCTACATACTACATTTAGTCAGTGAGTTATCACTGAGAAGTGGACAGTCTCATTCCATTCCAATTCCTCTCTCTCTCTCTCTCTCTCTCTCTCTCCTCCATCTCTGTCTCTCTCCTCTCTCTCTCCACTGTCTCTGATCTCTCCATCCCCCTCCTCCCAAACCCTCATCTAACTCCATGAACACATGCAGTCTTATTCACGGTTGGGAACCCTCGCTTTGCCCCCTCCCTTGCCTCGTTCAAGGCCCGTCTCAAGACCCTTCTCTTCGACTGTGCCTTCGGCCAACCTCCTACCCCACCCCCCCACCTTCCCTGCTCTTCACCCCTCCTGATCCCAACCCCCAGCTCGGGTCCAAATCGCTGATTCTCCAGCTCCTTGGGACAATCTCCCAACGTGAAAGGCAGGAGCTGTGTAAATGTAATGTGTTGTTGTACGGGTAGAGATTGTGTTGAGGGCTGACGGGTTGGGTGGCAGTAACGGTGTTGGTGGTTACACCGAGTCTCTCTCTCTCTCTCGAGCCGTCAGTGACCGGGAGTTAGGGTCGATTGGACAAACAGTGACCATTGACCGACGCTCTGACTGAGAGACGCTGTGGGTAGCGAGGCCCAGAGGGGCCTCACCATGATGTCAGTGTCAACACGGAATATTTGCCCAGAGCCAAAGTGCGACAAAAGGAATCCGTGTTTTGGGGAATTATTCACCTCGGCAGCGTTTACACACGGTCGGACGTTGCTGACGATGTGAACGTTGCTGGGATTGGGCAGCCACCAGGGTGACCGCAGTGGGGTGTCGGGGGGGGAGGGGGGGGAAGGGGTCAGTGAACGGCTGGAGACAGACCTGCTGCCTAACCTGCCCTTGTTTTCTCTCTCTCTCTCTGTTGGCAAAGCTGGAGTTGACTGGGGACATGGCAATGATGGTGTGGGAGCCGTCAGTACTTTGTACATCGCTGAAACACTCTGCACTTTCCTCATCCCCCAGATCAGGGAGAAATTCCGTCCTGTGACAAATTACTTTTTTTTAAAAAATCTTTATGTTTCCGCCAATCCCGAGGCCCCAAATTCCACCCAGTCTCAGACAGTTTGGTCTTAACGTGTAAAGATTTTTTTTCACAAGATTTTTTTTTTAAAAATTGCATCATTCGCTAATTACCTGAAGTTCTGTTTAAGTATTTATGAATCATTTATTTTTTATTCAGGGAAGTAAGTATTTATTTATTTACTTATTGGCGAGACTTGTAACCTTGTTATTCCACTGGAGCGTGTAATTACGAGACAATGAATTGTTGAATTATTCCCCTTGGTGACTTGCCCGCTCACTAGCCAGACGTACCATCAAATCTTTGGTCAACTTCAATCAGATTTACTTTGTTCCATGTTTGTTACTTCCTCCGGGCAATATAGAAATTACTCGTGAATTTTGATTACTTGTTTAGCTTTGAGAGAAAGTGAGTGTGACAGCGCTGATCTGTAATAATAATAATCCCTGCATTTGACGTCAGGACATCTCAAACCGCTTCACAGGATACACTGTAAAGTGAATTGACTGTATTTTGTGGGCGAAACGGAATGTGTCTGTGTGTCCTGATCCCAGTTACAGTCATTTGCTCGAGGAAACAATAAAACCACTTTCATCCTTATCCCAAAAGTTTCACACAGACACTGTATCACTATGAGCGTCTTGAAATCAGGGATCACTTCATTATGGATTTGATCACAATGATAATAATAATCATAACCCTGGTATTTGATGTTTAATACAAAATTATTTACTTGGCCTCCTTCAAGTCCCGCTTCAAAACCCTCCTCTTCGACAATGCCGTCGGTCAAGCCTCTTCCCTTCCCCTCCCCTCCCTCCTCCCCCCCTGACCCCAGCTCGGGTCTGAAATGCTGTACACTGTCCAGCGCCTTGGGACGTCCTCCCGACGGGAAAGGCGCTATACACATGTAATCTTGTTGTCGCCGTTGTCGTTCAAAAGGGAGAACAACAAGAGCAACAACAAATTACATTGCGATCGCGACTTTCACATCGGGAGGACGTCCCAAGGCGCTGAAATGCTATCTGGGAGGCGCTACCTGGGAAGTGAAGGTATTCGGGGATTTGGGCAAAAAAAAGCCGGAAAAGTGGATTAATAAATGATGTGATGGGTAACCCAGACCCAGTGCACTGCTGCCCCCTCCTGGCCGCGCGGGGCGACTGCGGCAGTGCTGATTTACACCGATTGTCACTGCTGGAGCTGCTCAACATCACCGCCTGGTGGCAGCCTGTACCAACTGCACTGGGAAACACACTGAGCCACTGCCACTGGGAAACACACACTGAGCCACTGCCACTGCACTGGGAAACACACACTGAGCCACTGCCACTGGGAAACACACACTGAGCCACTGCCACTGGGAAACACACACTGAGCCACTGCACTGGGAAACACACACTGAGCCACTGCCACTGCACTGGGAAACACACACTGAGCCACTGCCACTGCACTGGGAAACACACACTGAGCCACTGCCACTGCACTGGGAAACACACACTGAGCCACTGCCACTGCACTGGGAAACACACTGAGCCACTGCCACTGCCACTGGGAAACACACACTGAGCCACTGCCACTGCACTGGGAAACACACACTGAGCCACTGCCACTGCACTGGAAACACACACTGAGCCACTGCCACTGCACTGGGAAACACACACTGAGCCACTGCCACTGCACTGGAAACACACACTGAGCCACTGCCACTGGGAACCACACACTGAGCCACTGCCACTGGGAAACACACACTGAGCCACTGCCACTGCACTGGAAACACACACTGAGCCACTGCCACTGCACTGGGAAACACACACTGAGCCACTGCCACTGGGAAACACACACTGAGCCACTGCCACTGCACTGGGAAACACACACTGAGCCACTGCCACTGGGAAACACACACTGAGCCACTGCCACTGCACTGGAAACACACACTGAGCCACTGCCACTGGGAAACACACACTGAGCCACTGCCACTGCACTGGGAAACACACACTGAGCCACTGCCACTGCACTGGAAACACACACTGAGCCACTGCCACTGCATTGGGAAACACACACTGAGCCAGTGCCACTGCCACTGGGAAACACACACTGAGCCACTGCCACTGGGAAACACACACTGAGCCACTGCACTGGGAAACACACACTGAGCCACTGCCACTGCACTGGGAAACACACACTGAGCCACTGCCACTGCACTGGGAAACACACACTGAGCCACTGCCACTGCACTGGGAAACACACACTGAGCCACTGCCACTGCACTGGGAAACACACTGAGCCACTGCCACTGCCACTGGGAAACACACACTGAGCCACTGCCACTGCCACTGGGAAACACACACTGAGCCACTGCCACTGGGAAACACACACTGAGCCACTGCCACTGGGAAACACACACTGAGCCACTGCCACTGGGAAACACACACTGAGCCACTGCCACTGGGAAACACACACTGAGCCACTGCCACTGCACTGGGAAACACACACTGAGCCACTGCCACTGCACTGGGAAACACACACTGAGCCACTGCCACTGCACTGGGAAACACACACTGAGCCACTGCCACTGCACTGGGAAACACACACTGAGCCACTGCCACTGGGAAACACACACTGAGCCACTGCCACTGCACTGGGAAACACACACTGAGCCACTGCCACTGCACTGGGAAACACACACTGAGCCACTGCCACTGCACTGGGAAACACACTGAGCCACTGCCACTGGGAAACACACACTGAGCCACAGGCTCAGCAATTATTCAGCCTTTTTCACCACAGCGAACTGTGTCACAGTGCATAATACAAAGGACCCCAAACATGATCTGTTATAAGGTGCCCCAGGTTCTTTAATCCAATCCTGGAGATAGACTTAACCACAACCAACCACCCACTCAACCACCCACTTACCCAACCCCACCCAACCAACCAATCCCCCCCCAACACAATCACCCAACCAAGCAATCTCCCTGCCCCCCAACCAATCCTCCCCACAACCCAATCACCCAACCAGGGGCTGCTGTGTGATCTCTCTGTGCCTAAGCAGCTTAAGCTCAGCTGAGCTGAATGTTGTAGCTTGGGCTGCCTGTGAGGCAGAGCTAGCCCAAGGTGGGGCGCTGAGGGACCGAGGCTGGGGCCTGGGTCTCTGACACCCCCTCTGCTGTTCTGTGACGGTGAGTCACTGGTTTCCCTTCGTCAGGATGTGAGCAGTCAGTCAGAGTGAAAGAGAGGTCAGGGCTCCGTTTATGAGCTTTGAACAACAGCTCGATTCTGGGAAATGCTTCTCGAAGCCGCTGCTGTTGTTGCGGTGGTGAGCGGCCACGCCTGTCACCTGGGCCTTTCAACCATCACCGGGCCCAACCACTGGCCACAGGCCATGGATACCAGGCCAGGCAACGGTTGCTGAGCCTGACAACAAGTCACAAAGCCAGGAAACCGTCACTGAGCCTGTTAACGGCTGCCAGCCAGCGGTTTGTGCTTAGCTCATCCTGAGAGTTGTCAACAGGAAACACAGGAAGCGAGACTTTGCGAGATCAGCCTGTGGTTTAGCTGCAAGAGCTCAACACAAATACACACACAGGCACACAGACAGACTGCAGCCTGGAGCCCAGGGCAACCTCCCCAGCTCACAACAGCAGCTCTTTTGCCAATGATTCTCTGAGCCAGAAGTTTGGGGTTCCAGGCCCACATTAGGGGGGGATTGGGGAGGGGCTCACAGTCCAGGCTGTCGCTCCAGTGCAACGCTGGAGGGAGCCTGTATTGTTTGAGGTGCTGTTGGGATATGACCACAACACGACACCTGCCTGCTGAGGTTGCCAAGAGAACAAGTGCTGGGTGTGGCAGCCAGGGCTTTGTGATAAGCCAGAGCTGTAACAAGCTCAGGTTCTGATATTGATCAGCAGGTTAGCCTGTGCGCTGATGGTGTGAGATGTGTCATGGCCCCTCGCACAGGCCTCTCTCGTGTGTACACACATCCACACCCACCCAAACCCAGAGGCTCCCAGAGACATTCCTGCCCAGGGCATCGAGGTTGCTAATGTCCTCCATAAAGATAGGATTGAAGCCAACATCCCTGACAAAGGATTCCTGACGCCTTTTCCATCACAACTTGAACTTGGACCATGACCGCACTCAACCATGGGAGTCAGTGACAACATCAACACGTTATATTTACACAGCGCTTTTCACATCGGGAGGACATCCCGAGGCCCTGAACAGTTGAGGGCTAGGATCAAGAGGGTTGGAGTGGTATTGTGGCCAAAGGCACAGTCAAAGAGGAAGGTCTTGAGAAGGGCCTTGAAGGAGGCGTGGGAGGGATTCGGCAATGGAGTTCCAGAATGTGAGAGCAGAGAGACTGACTATCAAGGGCAGGGCAGACAAGGGACATGGAGCAGGCCACTGCACGCTGAGCAGAGGGAGTGGACAGTTTGGTATTGTGGTAAGAGGTTGCAGAGGTAGGGAGGAACAAGGCCGTGGTAGGCTTTGAAAGGGAGGACAAGGATTGCCAGAAGATTGTGAGTTTACGCCACATGTCAGAACTTTAAACTCATGGTTTAGGCTGATGCTGGGGAGGTGAGCGGGGGGGGGAATGCCACATTGTGGGAGGTGCTGTCCTTCGGGTGAGACGTTAAAACCAAGGTCCCGTCTGCCTGCTCAGGTGGAGGTTGAAGATCCCGAGGCGCTACTCGAAAAGAGAAGGGAGTTTTTCTCTCTCTCTCCCTGGTGGCCCAATCCCCCAAATAAAATTGATCACTCACTTCGTGGCTGTTTGTGGGACGCTGCTGTGTATAAATTGGCTGCTGCATTTCGCCCACAAAATACACAGTCACTAAATGACACGTTATAAGTGTGTGTCCCTCCCCCCTCACACGTCAATGAGAAGACAAAAAGATCACAATCCAAAGCACAAGCTTATTCATTTATTCATCAGCTTCACATCAATCGTTAGTAATTATTCTGACAACAAACCTCCAGTTTCACGTTTCCGAGAACACAAAGTGCAAATACTTCAGAACATTCACAGAAGCACGAGAGAGAGAGAGAGAGAGGAGAGACACACGCACACGAGACTCCAGCTCACACACCGGCTACACACGGCTACATTCAGTCATCAGCATCAGCTGAACAATTAGCAAAACATTGGTTTAGTAAATGGGCAGCGAGCAGCTGTGTGTGCCCAGCGCTCAGCCAGCAACCAACCACAACCCCTTTCCCTGCTACACAACCCCAACCCAACCCCAGCCACACAGCCCCAACCCAACCCCAGCCACACAGCCCCAACCCAACCCCAGCCACACAGCCCCAACCCAACCCCAGCCACACAGCCCCAACCCAACCCCAGCCACACAGCCCCAACCCAACCCCAGCCACACAGCCCCAACCCAACCCCAGCCACACAGCCCCAACCCAACCCCAGCCACACAGCCCCAACCCAACCCCAGCCACACAGCCCCAACCCAACCCCAGCCACACACAGCCCCAACCCAACCCCAGCCACACAGCCCAACCCAACCCCAGCCACAACAGCCCCAACCCAACCCCAGCCACACAGCCCCAACCCAACCCAGCCACACAACGCCCAACCCAACCCCAGCCACACAGCCCCAACCCAACCCCAGCCACAAAGCCCTAACCCAACCCCAGCTACAAAGCCCCAAACCAACCCCACCTGCACAGGCCCAACCCAAGCCCAGCCACAAAGCCCCAACCCGCACAGCCCCAACCTAAACCCACGCCAAGCTCCAATCCAGGGTTCTGCCTCTCGCCTCAAACCAGCCCTAAACTAAAAGGTGTCCGTGTATCTCACAGGTCTGGACACACAGAGTCATTAACTTGGCACCAGTCATATCACAAAACCCTGAACCCTGTGAGTTGACACTCTCACGCTGGTGCACACAGTGTCAGCTGTCACTTTATGAACCATCTTAAATCGATTATACATCAATCATTAGCGTTGAATCTGACACCTGCTTCTCTCCAAACAAAACACCCCTTTGTTGTCTGTAAATGAGCTGGTTAATCTTCAACACCGAGGGCAATAATCCCACCGCAAAAAGACGACTCACTGTGTCTACGCAGCAATCTTCCTCAACCCAGCACCTTGATTTCCGAGCCGGATTAAAGTACAGTGAAGAAATTGCCCACTTTGCAACACCTTGAAATAACTCTGGCCCATGACAGTGTTAGAGGGTTGTAAATGTACTAAACTCTGATAACACTGGGTGTGTGGTGTCTTGTTTACACAACTGACAATTTCAGCATTCCCACACTGATAGACAATGGGATTTCAATCCACTTGCGCATCCCACTCTCCCAGACAGGGAGGGGAGAGAATGGAGAGAGTTGGGGTGGTCAGGACGGGGGGGGACCAGACAGGCCTGGGATTGGTTGGGCGGGGGGAGAGTTTGAGAGAAAAGAGCTCGACCAACCTCAGTGTGGAAATGTATCCATCCACAGCCTTCACACAAACTCTGAAACTTTTTATTTTGGCGAAATCATTAAACGCAGCAGAAAATTACTTCCAACTTCCCGAAAACTTACTTTCAGCCCAACTAAACAGCACCCGCTGGAGTTCTGAACTCCCATCGCTGGTAGGTGAGGCACTCAGACACACAGCAGTAAACGGTTAGGGTCTGGGGAGAGGAAGAATTATTTGATGCTCGGGTGATTAACTGGGTTGAAGGAGTTTCCGGGAAGCTTGAGGGAGGGGTGGGGATTAAGGGCGGATGTGAAGGCTGCCATCTTGAATCCTCCAGCTCCACATGTTGCTGTAGTTGGAGGCGTGCGCGCACATCAAGTCGATCCCGGAGTCGGGAATCTCCAAGTCAGGAGAAATGGGTTTTCCGTTGGGCTTCACCAGAGAGAAGCTGGAAACGTGGACCTGAGGGCAACAGAGGTCAGAGGTTAGAATGTCGTCGCCTCCACAACACTTTCCAGGCAAAGTCACACACGCCACGTGATCCAGAACAACACCTTGTGATCAGCCCAAAGCCGTTCATTGCTCCCCCATCCCTGTAGGACCCCCCCACTCCCCCGCCCACCACAGCCACCCCTAATGTTCCCCGCGCTCCCTCTCCTAGCTTTCGTCCGTCCCCACCCAATGCACCCCACTCTGTTCTCATGCCACCCTCGAACCCCCACTCCAGCCCTTGCCTTTGCGCCCCCACCACCCTCCACTGCCCCGCCCCCCCCCCCTCTCAGCCACTCACCAAGTTGCTGATCCCCGAGGCCACACGACCCACTGTGGCCCCTCGCACGTCGTGCACCACCAGACGCTCACCATCAAACGAATGAATTCGGACCTGAACCCCTACAGCAAGAAGTCAACAAGGTCAGCACTCGCTCCTTCATCATCACCATCATCATCCACTGCCCCCCCACTCCATCATCATCATCCATTCCCCCCACACCATCATCACCGTCAACCACTCCATCACCATCATCATCACCATCCACTCCCCCCATAACCTCCAACCCCCACCCCTCACACTGTACCATTGAAGAAGCTGGGGGTGTTGAGGTGAGACTGTCCTTTGTGGCTGAGGCTGGGGGGTTGGGGGTCAGTCTGGCTGTTCCACGACATGGAGTGAATGCCGGAGCTGTACATCCCACTCAGACTGGGATCGGCCTTGGGACACTCCTGGGGGGAGAGAAAGAGAAACGGTAGTGGGGGGTCACACTGTGAAATCTGAGCAGCGGGGTATGGTGCTGGGGGTGGGCAGAGCTCCGGGGTAGGGGTATCTCGAGGGAGAGGGAGGTGTGTGCCTCGAGAGTGGGGTGTGGGGGGGGGCATTACCTGCTCCACATGTTGGGGCAGGCTATAGGCCCCACTGCTCAGGGCGTCCAGGATGCGGGACTCCAGCTCCTCAGGATACACTTGGGAAAGGTTATACAGCAGGAATTCTGGAAGAGCAGCACAGGGTTCAGAGTCAGACACACACACGCGCATACACACAGTCACTACACTCTAGTCAACAATAATCCTGTCGTTTGCCAATCATAATCCTGACGTTTGATCCAGCAACTTATTCAAGACCTTTGCGGATTTTAACAATTTTACAATGAATTGTAGAATAATAATAATAAGAAATAATGATAATAAGCAATAATAAATAATAATAACAATAAATCATAATAATGAATAATAATAAATAATAATGAATAATAATAAATAATAATAATCCTTGAATTTGAGGATTATTATTATCCTTCCCGGGGAGGTCAGGACGAAACGTTGGGCAAGTTTCCTTACTCCACCGCCTCTGTTTACTCAGCATTAAGTAGGAACCCGGTTGTTAGTCGATTGGCAGATCGCTTTTTGGGGGGTTAATAAATCCCTTCAAAAAATAATAATTCAGTCACCCAATCCTTATTATTATTATTAAACTACTACTATTATTCCTACCTGTCTGCAGACGTCCCTCCTCCTGCAGGATCTCGCGCTCAGCCTGACTGTGTGCCGGGGGCAGTGACAGCAGGGGTTGGGGAGCAGAGCTGTCGGAGTCACAGTGGGAATCGGCCACCGCCCGGTTGCTCCCGGCCCCCCACTCACACTCGCTCCACCCCCAGAGCCCACTGTGCAGGCTCACGCCGTTCCAACGATAGCACCTCTCCCACTGGGCTCCGGCTTCACTGCCCCCGACTGGGGTCTCCTCTGGGTTGACCACGTCACTGCAAAGCCCCCCTTCTTCCCCCCGGCACTGGGCTGCCGGGGGGGCCGCAACCTCTGCTCCCCGTCCCGGGCCTGCGTCCGGGGGGTCCGGGGCGAGCGGGTGTCCGGGGGCCGGCCGTGCGGAGAGGGGAGAGTTGCCCCCGTTCCCCTCGCTGCTCGTCAAAGGCTTCTCCCCGGCACAGCAGCTCCCACTCTCTGTGCAAACACCACACACACAGACACCGTGGATTACCTTCTCGTCAATAATCTGCTCAGTTACACACACACCGAACCTCCCTCTACACTGTGCCTCCGACCACAGTCACAGGTCAGGGCTAAAGATAGAGATACAGACAGACACACACCCACAGACAGACAAGAGACAGAAGACACGGACAGACAAAGACAGACAGACAGAGACAGACAGAGACCAGCAGAGACAGAGAGACAGACACAGGCACAGACACACACACACACACACACAGACAGACAGACAGACAGACAGACAGAGAGACAGTCAGACAGACAGACAGTGCACCCCCAACCCCACGCCCCTCCCCAGTGAATGGCCTTAGACTTACTCTGTTGTAGAGCCCGAAGAGCTTGGTCAGTGCGTCCCCGCAGCCCCCCCACAGTGTCCCTGTGTGCCGGGTCCTTCACTAAACCCGCTCTGATCACACTGGCTGTGAGGGCGCTGCACGAGGCAGGGATTTCATCCAGTGGGGGCTTGTCTCTTACAATCTGTGGGTGGTGGTGGGGGCGGGGGGGGAGAGGGAAATATGAGGAACAGTCTCCATTTCAGATTAATCCATTCATTGAACCACAACCTCCCTCCCTCGCCCCCACCCCATCCCTCGCCCCCACCCCATCGCTCAACCCCACCTCGCTCGGCCCTACACCACCCCCCCACACCCCACCCCCACTGACCTTCAACATAAGCTGGTTAGTGTTGATGTTCTGCCAGGGGTGATGGCCTGACAGCATGTGCAGCAGGGTACACGCCGTACTCCAGCTGTCAGCCCCCAGCCCGTACACCCCCTTCAACACCTCGGGGGCCATGTGGGTCACCGTCCCCAGGCACTGCCCACCTGCAAACACACAAACACAGCCATCAGTGTCTCTGCCCCTGCCCTCAGCTCCCCCCACACCCCAGAACCACCCTCCCCGACATACCAGCTCCCCCACCAGGCCCACCACCCCTCGCCCAATCCCGCCCACCCATCGCCGAGCCCCCACACCCCAGCCCCCACCACCCATCGCCCAGCCCTCCACATCCGCTCTCCAGCACTGCGCGCCTGAAAACACACACACACACAAACCAACATACCCCCCACCCCTCACACACACACATACAAATGCACACACGCACATCCTGACCCCCCCCCCACTCATAATCCCCGCACCCCTCCCCACCCACAACCCACTCACCATGGGAGCTGGTAATGCCTGATGGTGACAGCTGTGTGGAATGGCCAAAGTCACAGAGGGAAACCTGGTACCCGCAGCGGGACAGGAGCATGTTATCCGCTGGGAAAAATCCACAAGGACAGAATCAGTCACCGGCCGCTCCGCAAATAACCCCCCATCCCACCATCCCACCATCCTCCCACCCCACCATCGCCATTTTGTATTTGTTTTATATTTAAAAAAAATTGAAGTGATAATTTGGTGACTTCACTTCACGACATGTCGTCTGTAGGGGCCTCCGCTGCTTGCGTAATTGGCTGCCGCTTTTCGCCCACAAAAATATTACGGTCACTACACTTTACAGTGTATTGTGTGAAGCGCTTTGAGACGTCTCAAAGACCAATGAAAAGGCGCAATACAAACACAGGGAGTATTATAATTATTATTAATGTTATCATATTGTGAATTAAGACGCATTACCTGCTCGTTTCAGTACCAGCTCCCCCACACCCCAGCCCCTCCCCCCAACAACCCAGCGACCCCCACACCCCAGCCACCCATACACCAGCCCTCCCCACACCCCAGCCCCCCACCCCAGCCCCCCACCCCACACCCCAGCCCCCCCCCCCACACCCCAGCGACCCCCACACCCCAGCCACCCATACACCAGCCCCCCCCCACACCCCAGCCCCCCTGCCTCGAGCGTGTGTCTCACCTTTGACGTCACCATGTACGATGCCAAGGGAGTGGAGGTGCTGTAGGGCCTGGAGGACCTGCCCGGTGTAGTGCAGGCTCAGGGCCTCAGGGAGTGAGCCCTGCTTCCTGATCAGCTGTGCCACCGAGCCTCCTACAGGGGGTGACACACACATACCAGCTCACACGGGCAATGTTTTCCCCCACTACACCAACCCCCTCGCCAGCTCACACCAGCATATGCCCCTCCGCACCCCCTCACCAGCCCGCACTGGCAATGTCCCCCCCCACCGCACCCTCTCACCAGGTACCGGGTTGGGCAAGACCTCCCCTTCCTCACCCCAATTCACACCAGCAATCTACCCCTCCGCACCCCACTCACACTCGCAATTTCCTCCCCCCTCCATCCCTGCACCCCCTCATACCACGCTCACACCAGCAACGTCTCCCCCTCCTCACACCCCCTCACTGGGCACGGCAACACAAGTCACCATCCTCCTTCTCACACACCAGCTCTGAGTGTGTGTGTGCGTGCGTGTGTGTGGGGGCAAGGGGGTTCGGGCTGAAAATCTGTGGAGGGTTAATGCGGGGGCGTGGGGGGCTCCAAGCCTAAGAGGGTTAATGACGCCCGAGCTTCAGTCTGACCTGGCAATAGTTTCATGAAGAGGGTGATGGTCTCTCCGTGTCGCACCCCCCCGTACAGCGGAACAATCCACGGCGACGTCAATCTGCTCCACGTCAACACCTCCCCTGCCTGGAAATTACTGACATGGATCTGAGAGGGTGTTGGGGGGGAGAGAGAGGGGGAGAAAGAGGGGTGAGAGAGGAGTAGAGTCGGTTACTGGGGTGGTCATGCAGTGATGGGCAGCGCCAATTCCCACCCCAATTCTCCACCGCCCCGGTCACCCCCTCACCCCTCCCCTTCCACTTGTCCTCCCCCGGCCACACACCCCAAGCCACACCTCACCCTCCCCCACTCCTCCTCCCCCCCACTCCCGGTACCTGTTTGGCAGCACAGGTGAAGTTTGAGCTGTGGTCTCGAGCCATGTACACGTCCCCAAAGCTGCCAGTGCCCAGCCGGCCCGGGATCAGGGACCAGTGGGAATCCTCCCCGTACTCGTGCTCCACGGGCCTCAGGTCCTGGAACACACGAGAGGAAACACGTCAGACACGCTACGCAAACGCCACTCGCCGTCCAGACACGCCACCATATGCTGTCATCATGCCCAAGCCACACACACGCACACACACACACGTACCTGGTGTTGAAGGAGACCCTCGTTGGTGTTCGGAACCTTCTGGCCCTGTCTCCAGCGCTCCCCGTACTCCTCCCACTTCCGGCAATGGTGCACAAAGTACTTGGGATCCTCGTGGATGACGATGCCCCTCAGGGCGCTGGCCACCAGGCCGGGCTCGCTCAGAGGCTCCTTGCGGTGCTCGGCCCCGACAAAGTCGCCGCGGCCGGCAAACAGCGGGGGCGACGTCTCCTGGGCGGTCACGGACTCCGGCAGCCGCTTCCCGGTGTCCAGCCCATCGTCGTTGATGTAAAACATGGTCGGGGAGTTCTTGGTGAAGTAGCCGAGTGAGGAGTTCAGACGGTCGCCTTTGGGCCGAGCTTGAGTCTCGTCATGAACCGCCAATCCCTCCCCCCGGACCATCAAGCCCTCCCTCAGGCCCAGCCGGTCAGCATCGTTGTTCGGGTGGGGGGGTGGGGAGGTCAGGATAGTCAGGGGTTTGGCCAGGGAGGTGGGGAAGGGCCGCACGTTGGACTGTTTGACGGAGCCAGCGAAGAAGTTGTCTGCTTGGCGTTGCTGTATGTCGCGGTAAACGCTGGCGATGTGGTCATCCTCCCGCAGCCTGTAAATCCCGCGGGAATCCAGCCCTGCCGGCCCGGCCAGCGCCAGCTCGGCGACAAAGACGGGGACCTCATGACGCCGGCTGCTGTTGCCGCAGATGTCGGAGGTGTTTTCTGCCTGATCCTCCTGCAGAGAGAGAGAGAGTTAAACCCCCTCCTCATGTTCCCCCCCCACATCGCTCCCCCCGCTGCCCCACCCATGCACCGACAGTGATAGGAACGGAGATACGGAGATGGCTTTCGGGGCCGAGGTTACAGAAGGTTTTGGGGTGCAGTAATCCGGAATTGTTCCGGGAGCTGCCTGGTCGCCCGCCCGGGGTTTATACTGAGGGACGGAAGGTATGTGGAGCCCGAGGCGAGGGACTGACCTGCACGGGGATGGGTGGGCAGCTCTCCTGCTCGGGGGGCTTTGTTCCGGGCCCGTACGCCTCCCTCTTCTTCCTGCTCCTCTGCCGGGATTTCCTGTTGCCTCGTCTCCTCCGGGGCCGTGTGCCGTTTGCCGAGGTCTCCCCTGCCCCTGGCACTTTACCCTCCGCGCCGCGCACAACATTGTTCAGCACAGTCTCCAACCGCACCTTCTCTACTTGGTGACTGCGAGAGAGAGACAGAGAGAGAGAGGGGGGAGAGAGTGAGAGAGAGAGAGAGAGTGCAAGAGAGAAAGAATGTGGGAGAGTGAGAAAGAGTGAGAAAGAGGGTGAGAGTGTGAGGGAGAGTGTGTGTGAGAGACAGAGAGAGCGAGAGAGAGGGAGAGGGCGCACGAGAGACTGAGAGCTCGAGAGGGAGAATGTGAGAGAGTGAGAAAGTGAGAGCATGTGAGGGAGAGAGAGTGAGAGGGAGAGAAAGGAAAGAGAATAAGAGAGAGGGAGAGAGAGGGAATGAGAAAGAGAGCCTCGGAAATGGGGAACAAGCCCTCCGTCCCGAACGGTCCCTGTTCCTTGACGGCATTTACCTGTAGCTGTTGGGAGTTGCTATAAACGGCGCCTTTTCACAGCTCGGGATCAGCTTCTGGTTCCCCACACCTGCCAGAGAGAGACCAGCGAGTGTGAGCAGCCAGCTCAGCCCACCTTACACACCCATCCTTACACGCCAGCCCTTACACGTCAGTCCCTCACACGTGCATGGTTGCGCGCACGTGTATGTGAGCGTGCATGTGCGCGCGCATGTGCGTGCATACGTTTGTGCGCATATATGTGTGCGTGTGTATGGGTATGCGTATATGTGTGTGCGTATATGTAAGTGTGTGCACGTATATGTGTCTGTGTGTGCATATATGTGTGTGCGTATATGTGTGTGTGTGCGCGTATATTTATGTGTGTGTGCATATATGTATGTGTGTGTGCGTATATGTATGTGTGTGTGCATATTTATGTGTGTGTGCATATATGTGTGTGTCCGTGTGTAGGTGTGCGTGGTTGTGCTCACCGGTTGCCTGTGCGATGTACGAGAATTTGCTCTCGTCCAGATCAGTCTCCTGCTTTGCCGTCCCCTCGGTCAGGACCTTCTGCGGAATCTTCCCGACACATTCCCGCTCCGTAACCTCCAGTGTCTTGCTCTCCATCTGGCCGGCCGGCAGCGGCCCCTGGTGCAGGGCTGTGTGCCGAGACAATCGCTTGACTGCCATTTCCTGCTCCGCTAGAGAGAGAGGAGCAATAATGTTAATAATAATAATTTGATACAGCGCCTTATCATGTCTTCGAGATGGCTCAAAGCACTGTAAAGTGAATCGTGGGTCAAATGTGGCAGCCAATTGCACACAGCAATGTCCCGCAAACAGCCCCAAATTATTATTATTATTATTATTATTACAACCTTCTGCCTCAGAGCCAAAACACAACAGCCTGAGCAAGCCCAGCTGACACCACCTTACGTTCTGGTCTCGGAGAATTTCTCAGGGGTCACTACTAAACTCCGTAACACACTTTGGCTCCAACCACCGCTTGTGGTAAAGCTTTGCACATTGCGAGAGTGCTGTGTCTGTCACGCGGACATAGCTGCAGCTCTGACCTGACCCGCACAGCAAAAACTTTCCAAGTTGCAAAAACTTTTTTTTCGCACCAAGAAAAAAAAAGTCAAATCCTGGTAGGAATGAAAGCATCAGGTCACTGGCTCCTCTGTTCAGCAACGAAATAAGACAGAGACAGACAGACAAACACAGACACAGACACACGCGCACACAGACGGACACACACACACACAGATAGAGTGGATAGAGTGGCACACAGACACAGACAGACATACACCATCTCCCCTTTACTGCCCCCCACCCCACCCTCCACCATTTACCCCATGTGTAAAACACACTGTATAGTTTCCTGCTTACAAACTGCGATGTATTTCCGGGCAGATCATTAGCCCATTGCGAATCCACGCAAAGCAGTCTGTCTGTCTGTCTGTGCTGAAAACATGTAAGGCTGGAGATACTCACACAGACCTCACACACTCACTTACACACAGACAGAGACACACACACAGACCCTCACAGATGCACATACCCAGGACTCTCTCTCTCTCTGGTACCGTGTGTCTTTTTTCCTCTTTCTTTCTCTCTCTCTCTCGGTCTTTCTGAGGTTGTATTACATGCGCCTGTTTCCCTCTCTCTCTGTGTGGCTGTGTGTGTACGTCTGTGTCTCTCCCTGTGGCTGTCTCCCTGTCTGTCTCTCTCTCTGACTGACTGTCTCTCTCTGTCACTCTGTGTGTGGGTGTGTGTCTGTGTGGTTGGAAGGGGGCCAGACTTTGACGGCCAATAACAAACACAATGATCTCACCAGCTACAGCTCCCCCTCGGCAATTGGCTGTTGTTCTTCCTAATTTACGGGAAGAAGCCTTTTGCCGGGAAACTGCAGTGAAACAGGCTGAGCCGGTGTGAGATGACCCCGAGACAGCCAGGCCACGCAGCCCGCAACACCGGCTCACAACACCAGCCCCCAACACCGGCCACACAGCCCCCAACACCGGCCACACAGCCCCCAACACCAGTTACACAGCCCACAACACCAGCCACACAAAACCGGCCACACAGCCCCCGACACCGGCCATACAGCCCCCGACACTAGCTATGCAACCCGCAACACCGGCCACACAGCCCCTGACACCGGCCACACAGCCCCCAACACCGGCCCCACAACACCAGCCATACAGCCCCCAACACCGGCCACACAGCCCCCAACACCGGACACACAAACTGGACAACTCTCAAACTTTTTGTAACACCCAATGTAAACAACAGCAACAACGAAGACGCACAAAACGTGGCAAATGGCAAAAACCGTAAAATCCTGCACAGAGCCAAATAAGCAAATTGTATTCATTCAACTCTTAAAAAGAAATGATGGTATTTGCCTCATTTTGATAAAGAGAGTAACTGTATTTCACTTTTAACGGTTAATTAGTGATTTGGTTTCAACTAGCCAGATGTTGGCTTGGCTTTTCAGGGTCCAGTGACCCTGTTTGTGTGTGTGTGTGTGTGTGTGTGTATGAGGGGGTGCAGGGGGCTGTGTGTGTATGTGTGTGTGTGTGGGGCTGTGTGTGTGTCGGGGGGGGGGGGGGGGGGAAGCTGGTACTAATCTCTCTCTCTGGTAATTGATTCACGGGTCACTACTCTCCCCGACACTGACCATGTATATTTTGGTTCAGGCTCAGCGTAACATCAGCCCAGCCTGGCTTGTGATTGCACCCAGAGTTATAGCATTGCATCACCACCATACGAGCCAAGGGAGCAGGCTGTTTGTGTGGGCGGCTGGAATGCACATCTGTCTGCAGCGATCAGAGGCTGAGATGATCAACGAAACAGCCAAAGAGCGAGACTGTGAGACCTTCTTATTCCCAAACTGCTGAAAATTTGCTAAACTGTCCCCCGTGAAATAACTGTCTGGACCCATGGCTGGAGATCAGAGCTCAATTCTAATCCAGGAATGTCCCCCGGTCTAGTCTCATTACCAACAGCTACATTTCCTCCCTCCTGAAGACTTTAATTAAAGAACGATCCTTATGCGGTGCTGGTTATGTCAATATGTCCCAATGTGCCCCCTGCCTGGCTCGCTTGGCTGGTTGCTGGGTCAGAAGGTCGTGGGTTCACAACAACAACAAATCGCATTTGGATAGTCAGGGATTTGGACCCGAGCTGGGGGTTGGGATCAGGAGGGAGTGGAGAGCAGGGAGGGTAGGAGTTGGAGGGTGATCGAAGGCACGTCGAAGAGGAGGGTCTTGAGATGGGTGTTGAAGCAGGCAAGGGAGGGGAGCCAGGCGAATGGACTGTGGGATGAGTTCCAAAGGGTGGGGGCAGAGAGGCTGAAGGGCAGACTACCAATAGTGGGGGGACGTGGAGCAGGCTGGAGCCAGCCGAGCGGAGGGAACGGACAGGTCGATATGGCAATGGGGACAATTAACTGCTGTAACAGGCACCGAGGTCAGGAGACACAGACGTCACCTGAACTCAGCTCAGCTCCATGAACGGGATGAGCAGAGAGGAGGAAGCAGGCGGTCACTGAACATATAACACGGCACAGACTAGTCACAAGCACCTGCACTCACGCACCTACCAACTGATTAGTCACCTCTCTTGCTCCAAACCCAACTCTGACCCTGACTACGCCCTCCACCCCCTCCCTCCCCCTGTACACACAAACCACCATCAGTGGCCAGACAGCCTGGGGTTTTGCAGAGCAGACCAGGTTCTCCCATGGCCTGAGCGCTCTCTCTCTCGCTCTCTCTCTCCAGCAGGCGGGCTGGCTGAGGGAGAAAGCCTCTGGATAATGCGGAAGGTGTGAGATTAATCACCCAAACTGCAGCCTGTGCGGCAGCTGCACATGTCAGGAACCTGCG